ATACAAGATTTTATATAAAACTTTATTTTCACCTTAATACATTCACTGAGTTCATATTTCAGGGAACTGAGTTATGATTACAGCCCCAGTAAGACACAAACAGGTCTTCCTTGTTCAGCCGTGGCTATTTTATGCTGACGATGCATCAGTTGTGGACCAGGGGTGTTTGACTCTAACTCTACTATTTAGACACTGTGGATTTGAGTGCCTACTCCAAAAAACCGTATCTATGAATGGGCTTAACTCAACTTAGTCATGCGTGAGTAGAAGGTTCCTTTGGTGGTTAATATGGCTATTCCTATAAGAATCTTTGAAGTGGATGAGAATTAACCATCTTCCCCTCACTGTTAGGTTATAATGACATAAAAGTTCAGACCACATTCTACATAAATATGATTATTAAACAAGCATTTCTCCACCAAAAAAGGCACGAACAGTTTATGCACTTTGTTAAGCAAGCTCAGTGAAACCCAAGCGGTCTGTCCTTTCTCAAGTTTATACACCACTGTGGAGGATCAGCTCACACCAGAGGCAGTAGCAGCTCTGGTTCAGGGGCAGCTCTGGTTGTCTTACATTCTCAGCAACCAGAAGCTGTTCTGATCCGTAAGTGGACCCAAGATCATTTGGGAATCTAACCAGACAGCATTTTCATGGATAAAATTCATTATGCTTAGAAGTCCAGTTGGAATCATCATAGTAGTCGCTAAACAAAGTGAAATTGTTGCAAACACACTAGTTAAGAGCCAGTCTGTGCCTTCTTACATTTTATTTTTATTTAACAAATAATTGTATATATTTGCAGAATGCAAAGTGATGTTTTCACATGTTTACAATGTAGAATGATCATCTCAGCTGATTAACAAACCCACTACCTGACATACTTGTCAATTTTGTGGTTAAAAATCGAGAAGTCAGAGCTAGGATTTGAACCCAAGGCCTTAAACATGCCAGGTATTTATTGTGGTCACCATTCTGTGACTAGACCACTAAAGTTTATTTTTCCTGTCTAAAACTGAATTCTTCATTAGAGTACTTTACCACCCCTGTAGTTGACTACAGGGACACAAGCTATACAGTTGAGCTAATCAGCACATCCATACTATCTGCATGGTCTATTGTAAAATGTTTTAATACAAAAGTGTTTAAACATAAAAAGTATAACAATTGCTGCTAAATAAATCTCACATACAGTGTCAGCAACAGGGAAATGACTAAGATAGATTTTGGTACCATAAAAGTGGGTCTTTGCTGTGACACTACCTGACCATGTGGTTCCGAAACATTTGGAACTGGCTTGCAGGAGGAGTTTGGAAAGGTTTAGAAATGCAGGTGAGGGAAGCAGGTTTAGAATGTTGTGAGCTGACCTTGATGGGAGATTCTAGTCAGAGCTCAGCAATGATAGAACTAGTAGTAGTTTGACAATCCTTAAAGACAAACTAAACGTATTTTACATAAACGGATGCACATAGATTTTAGTCTTGCTTTGGTACCATTCCTTTCTGTGCCCCTATTTGTACCTTTTAGAATATAAATGCTTATCTTGTGTCATTGTATGTTGGAAATGTTTGACTTTCTTTTCATTTTTACAAGCACTACACAACTGAGTCTGCCTTAAATCTCAGAGAATTTGGACTTGGCCTTTTCAGCAAGGCTGAAACTTAGAACTTTGGCACTTATGTAAAATGATAAATACTAGATTAAGGGCACCCCGCAGTGTATCACTGGAATCTCAACGACAAGCACATCAGCTCTAATACTTTAGAGGAAATTATTCTTGGGGCACAGTTACAAGACCAGTATGAATTATTTTAGATGTGCTAAGAGGAGACAATAACTTTAGGGGACAAAAGCAGTGTATGTATGAAACTACTGAGATTTTAAGTCTCACAATCCATTTGTGAAAGTCCAGGTAGTTTAGAATGGCATGTATTGAAAAGAGCTTACGGTGACCGCATCAATTAGATCTTATGTATTAAGTCAGGAGTGAACTTTCCTGGAAAATGGACTATGGGAAGAATGTTATTCAAAAAGTAATGTAAATTTGAAAGAGGTCACACCAAGAGCAGCGTAGATGATGGCTTTAAACAGGATTGAGGAGGAGGCAGTTGAGGGAGGGCATGCATATGAGAAACGGGAGGCACAGAGAGCAGTGAAGGAGACAGACTTAAAACTGATGAGTTTTCCTTACTTAGAAGTATGTGTAACTTTAAAATAAAAGTAGAAGAATATGACATGTGCTTCTTCTCGTTATCAGATCCTAGCATCTACCCTCTCTAGATTCTCTTTGCTCTTCTCCTCCTGTTTGCTTTGTGTTACATTTGCTCAGTACTTCATACTGCTCAACACCTTCACTAAAGATGTTTCTCTCAGTCAACCAAGTAGTAACTACAATTTATTATGGTACCTATTTTATTTCTGTAAGCACTACAAACTGTAATCTCACAGAAATGCATTAATATCACAATATGCAATATTGTACAAACTCCTCTCCTGGAGTAATTGACAATATCAGACTTACTAGAAGTGGAAAGTAATAATGAAAACAAAATATGGTGTATAGTTGCATCAAAATTACAAATTATTCTAAGTGACTATGCAGTCACTGGGTTCTTTAAGCTAGTATATTCATATATTATAAAACTCAAAATAAGACCTTTTGCCTATCCCATAATCTATCCATTCTGCACATGTATATCCTTTACAGTAAGACATTTTCTGAAATTCCTATATAATGCCCCCTGTTTTCTAATAAAATGTTTTTCTTGAAAATTCTGTAAAACTTTATAAGAATATAAATAGTAAAATAAATATACACAATCTAAAAACCATATGGTTAACTGGGAAAGAAACTGTATATCACACCAAAGAGTGTGATATACAAACTCTAGAGATATATAAAATCCATTTAACCACCACATTCATGTAACAGTAAACAGTATATAATTTAATATTTTAAAGTTTTTCAAAAGGAATTTCAGAACCTTGAAGAATATTAAGAATAGGAAAAGTCACCTATGTTATCAATACTTGAAAATGTCATTTCTATTAAATGTTCTTCTACTAAATTAAATATGAAATGAGACAATTTACTATGCCAAAGTCGAAGAAGAATGTAGAAAGAAAGCTAAAAATCAAAAGCAGAGTGATTTATTGTTACCAATTTGATTTAACAAAATACACCAAAAAATATGTATTATGTACCTTTTAGATCTACATTGAAAAAGATGAAAGATAAGTTAACTACCAAATGTTACATCTCATAAGTAGAGATACTACAAGTAATCACCTGTGAATATTTGTATTGATAGTAATTATACTGAGTACACTGTCATGTTAACATGCTAAATGTTAGCATTTAATAAATGCACCGCCCACCTTTTTTACAATGTGACAATTTCTATATCTTCTTATCATATTCACAGAAAAATATGTATTGTCAATATTAAAAATAATATTTTAAAGGAGAATTAAAACTTTAGCAGTGAAAAGTACTATACATATTTCAGGACTCAGTGTTATTTATTTTAAGACAAGAATAACTTTTAGAGGTAAAGATGTCAATAGCTGGACAAATTTTTTTAAATGTGACTCAGAAACCATGTTACAAACTTAATTCTGCCAAGACTTCTAGCGTATCAGTTTCATTTCAATAATCTAACTAAAAAATGTCAAGAAATAAGGAATTTAGTCAGTGAAAATTGCACTCATGGATTTGCACATATTTCCTTCTGATATTTCAGTAGTAATTTTAGAAGTTCGGGAAATCTTGGAAAGATTTGTTTATTGAGTTCACACACGCCAGGCTTCTGACAATACTGCCAAGTATAGACTGTATATGAAGTAATATGTGCAGAGTCTACTTGGCAAAGTATACATTTTCTTTTTTGAACCAATTATATTTGCTTCATATAATGTTTTCTGATTTGTTAACATATAAATATTGTGAAGTTGGAAACAACTCTATTATAAAATTCTCTTTTAATTCTCTCCAGGAAGAAGTAGCATAGAATATAGAAAAAAACATTATAATACTTTCAAGCGTTATGCAATATATATTCAGAAGAAAATGTTTTGATGCCTAGTCATGAAAAGATATTTAGAAGAGCATTCATTCAAGCCGGGGGTGTAGCTCAGCAGTGCCATGCCTACCTGGCAAGCACAAGGTTCTGAGTTCAATTCCAGGTATAGGAAAAAAAATGTAGAATGATATTCATTTACTTTGTGATACAAAATATGCTTTACATTTTTAATAAAAATACCAAATTATCCCTTAGATCAATATATTTAATAACATATCTTTTGAGGTTTTGTTTTAGTAATCTAAGGGACTATTTCTAGTCAAATGATATTTCTATGCTATAGATAATATTTTTTGCACTTAAAAAGTTTAAAATACATGTATATATGACTGGTTACCAGAATAATTATTTCTATTAATAAACAACAGTACATAATTTAGAAGACAAGAACTTCCAAGTGAAGTCAGTTAAAGGAGCATAGTAGAGGCAAACTACAATCATTCTAAATGTTAATGTTACAGGAAATATCTATACTCACACTGTTTGGAAATTTCCTTTGCATATCCTTTAATTACTTTAATACTTTTATATGTTTAAAACAAGTTGAGCTCTTTTACTCTCATGGCCTTTAGGCCCAATTCCAAATGATCAAATTGAAAATGGTGGCAAGTTCCAGGGAAGGATTGCAGAAAAATAAAAAGAGTGAAAGGACCAGAAACTTGGTTAATCTATGCTTTCTTACAGTTTGATACCAATATAACTTTCCTACGGAAGCTAATTAAAAATTATCATTAAAATAGATTCAAAATAAGCAATGAAGCAAAAATGTATATCTTTACAAACTTAGGTGAACATGTGGATATAAATACACACACACACACACACACACACAATCTATATTTATCTTTCTGAATGTTTTTATTTCCAGACTCAACTTTTCTGAGGAAAAATACACAATAGAGTACTGAAAAAATATATGCTAGGCTTTGATCATATATTTTGTAAAATTCATCTCTTCTATAAACTGCCTAAAGCGGATAGTGAATGCATTATTAAAAACTAAATTCCCCATGGAGTACGTAAAATGTTAACAAAATCTTCATCATCTACTATCCCTAAGCTTAGACCTTCATAGTAATCTTCAAATTCACCATATGACACTTTATCAGACTTGCCGCTGGCATCTTTTAATGTTTCTAGAAAAGATGATTTGATTTCCTCCTCTGTGGAATGGCCTGTAAAATAGTGTGCAAAGGTTGAACAAAATGACTAGTGATGATAAACGCATACTTATTCATTTTATGAAACCGTTATGAGAATTTAAATTCTCATATCAAACTTTGAATGTACTTACACATGAGCTAGAATTAATTCCTCCTAATTTGCCACTCCCCACCTCTCTCCCATTTATCTGTCCTCAGGATTTCAGTGGAAAATATAGAAGAAAAAAAATCATTAACTTTTTAATAACAAAAGAGGAATTCAAAGATGAAAAGCTACAGATGGTGGTCAGATAATACTCAAAAAAGAATAAATAGAGGTACATATTTTTAAAAAGTAAGAAAGGGTAAACACAAATTCTTTGTGACCTTCTCTGAAACATTTTAAAGTCAGGTTGCATTTTTTTTTTTCGCTTGGTTTTGTTTTGGATTGTTTTTTTGAGACAGGGTCTCACTACATCGTTCAGCTGGCCTTGGACTCACCATGAAGCCCAGGCTGGCCTTGAACTCTCAGAGATCCCGTCTCAGCCTTTACACAGGTTCAGGTTGCCTTTTGAAGAAATGGGAATACCACCCTAATCATTTGTCTAACAAAATGGACAACTTAGGGTAAGAGATCCTTCCAACAAGCCTGAAATTCATTAATAGACATAGATAATGAAACACTGAAAGTGCTTTTCATGCTAAAGAAATGCGGCCTTTCAAAAATACACATAAAAATAGAGAAAAAAGTGATTGTTTCATTTCAAAACTAGCTGAATATAAAACGACTAGTTCTTATGCAATGTAAAGAATGGTAATGTACAACAATAAAATAAATTTGTAGTTGACTTAGTTACATCTAAAAACTAATTAAGACCTAATCTATATGAAAACAAATTTTAGGAGAAATTTCTCTTCCATATACTTGAATAGCTATGTTTTAACACTAATTTCTTTTTAAATTTATTTTCTTTTATCTATTAAATTTACTGGTACTTTTAGGTATACAGTAGTTACATTCATCCCTGGGATCTTGTACCTTTACATGATGTATCTTGCATCTTCTTTTTTCTCCATACCCCTTCCCTCCCTTTACCCCCTCCACCCTTCTTTGAGGCCATACTCTTAATTGAAATAAATAGAATACACGTGTAAATACCGAATAGTTTCTCTGGTGTGAAAAACTAAAAGGGTAAATAAGGTTCAAATTGTATAAGTGATAATATGAAATAGGAAGAAAAGGTCTAAAGGACAAGGGGAAGTGGGAAGGATAGGGGAAAGGAAAGAGGGAAAAGGACAATATAAGGAATACAAGAAAAGGAAAAAATAGAAACATACTCTTTGAAAATTTCTTAATTAAATTTATTTTTCAAGTAGTTAAAAACTCCGTATTTCCTTAAAATCTCCCTCCTAGAAATAGCTACCTTCCACAACTGTAACTAATTTTTTAAAAATTCTTATGGACACTAGTATTTCTAATACCACTTTACAAAATGTATTGGGGTATCATATCTCCATTACACTTTAAAATGCCTTTTATATAATAAATTACTTAAGTAAAAAATAGATTATTTTCCATGGTTAAAGTTAAAAGAAAGAAGAGAAAAGAAAAAAATATGAGAAATGGAAACAAAGTCTTTGTAAATAGGGAAGGGTGGAGGGGGTGAAAGGAGACCAGGGAAATGAGGAAAAATAAGAACAAAGGCAAGTCATGTAAAGGTACAAGATCCCAATGATGAATGTAACTGCACTGTATACCTAAAATGTACCAATGAATTTAATGAAAAAAATTAATCAGATGTAAGAGCCTCAATTTAAAACTGTAAATTGTAAACATGTTGCATCCCAAAGATAGCCAAGTGAATAAATTATAATTTATAATGACAGTATAGTATTTCTTATTTTTTAATGTTAATGTGTCTTTATTGGAGGAATTCCTTTTTAATTTAATTTAATTTATTGGTATATTCTAGGTACATGGTACAGTTACATTCATTACTGGGATCTTGTACCTTTACATGCCAGGTCTTGGTTCTCATTTTTTCCCCTTGTCCCCACCCTCCCTTCACCCCCTCCTTCCCTCCCCCCTTCAAGTATTTCTTTTTTAAAAAATAATAAATTTTTCTGTTTTTAAGAGTGTTTAGCTTACTAGCTAATCCTCCTTCATATGACTACAAAGACAAAGTATGAAACCTTTGAAATTAACCAAGGCTTATTGAACAAACACAAAAACAAAACCCTCCTGCATCTACAGTTCAGGGACACAGAATAAAACTGAAGATATTTAAATTGCCTAATATAGATTGTTTTAAAATACCAAAAGGAAAAAATACGCAAGGTTGAAAACCATCTAGTTTTGAAATAAATAAAGTATTTTGTTCTTATGCAAGAACAAAGTTTTAATATGACTAAAGACAAAGAAACAGAGACTGTCAGGAGTTTAAAGGGTAAAAAATATACTAACTCAACACTAGAAATTATCTCATACAAACTGTTATTCGTTGAGTCATTGATAAAAAATACAACTATTTTGATCTAAAATAATTAAAAATTTATGTCAATAATGGTTAATTTTAATTTTCAAAAACAATTCTGTTTTGACTTCTCAGATAAAAGTACTAAATATATCAAGAAACTGAAGTAATTACAGTATATCTTCCTTAATATTGAATTAAAATTATAAAATAACAGCATTCTATATTAATAGGATATAACTAAAATGATAAATTAGAAAGACAATATTCATAAAAGATGGTCAAAAATATTCATAAAATGGACAAATGCTTAATAAATATATGAAAATGTTTTACCTTCCTTGTAACCAGAGAAATGCAAACAATTTTTTTTCATCTCTCATATTGACCAAAGGTTAAAACTGTTGGCAAATTTATGAAGGAAAAAAATTGTACAACTAAGATGGTACAATCTAGTATGGTTATCTTACAATCTAATTTGGAAATGTCCATTAACACTTAAAAAAAATAAATATCCCAGTAATTGTAGCAACTGACATCACTCCTGACAAACAGAAAAAAATGAACCTAAGAAGTCACAAATAAGCATTATATTGTTTCACGGGTTGTGCATTAATAATTAGAAATTAAAAATCCAGCAACAGAGAATGGCTATGTAACCTGTAGTACACCGATTTGTGAAATAAATAATGCACAACAAACAAGACTAAGGTGAATCAGTGAGGGTTAACATGGAGATACTTCCAAGACATATTGCTGAGTATAAAAAACCAACTATATAACAATGTTAAATGCACCTCTGATGTCCAAAAATACTTCAAAAAGTATTAGATATTCATCACATGTAACAGCTATGAAAAAATCATGGAATAACAACTGAAATATGTTCGGTTCACGAACACTTTTGGTTCACAAACAGAAGCATTTGGCAAGACTGGTTTTGCTTGCAAACTCTGCCTTGAGTGATGAACATAACTGCTGCCATCTTTCCCACACGAACGTGACCACGGCCATCTTTTCCAGAATCTTCGGCACGAATAAAATTCGTGAACCAAGGTAACATGTATATATTAAATGATAGTAATTTTTACTTCTCTGGAGAACCAATGTAATGAAATGTAGGGAGTTATGATGGCCAAGTGCTTTCTTTGTAACAAGAATGCATTTATAATCTAATTATTTAATTATTTGAATTATTTAGTATATTCAAAAATACAATCATAAATAAATCTCTACAGCTACTTTAAAATTTACTGTATCTCAAAACTTTGATCGAAATATCATCCACTGTATGTATAAATCCAACCCTAAAAAAAGGCATTCCCTTATTCAGTCATAAATCCTCAAGTACGGATAACTACATAAGTAGATACAGTAAAATTGCGCTGGGAATCCGCATATGCAATCATCTAGTCTCTAAATCTCTTACGTTCTTTTAACAAATTCCTCATTCTCTCCTAAGTGAGAAATGAGTTTTAACTCAATTGTAACGTTGAAGAAGCAAGTAAGTATACACAATAGACCTAAGAATTTTTCAATGAAGAAGGAAAAATTGTTCTCAAGCTTCTGGTCAAACAAAAAGTATTTCCTATCTTAATGTTTTCAGATTATGCTTTAAATTAATGGGTTTTAAAGTGATATTTTGACTAACACTTTCAAAATCGAATGTATTTTGACTCAATAGTTACCTGAAATTACTTGAGGATGTTTCTTTGCACAATAACATTTTCTTATGTTTATAATAGGCACAACACCAGTTTTGTTGAAATCTAGTTTCATAAAGACCTAAAGAGAGAAAGGTTATTTTTAAGACATGAGAAACTGATTTTTCTATTTTGCAGTAGGCAGTTTCTGAGCTACAATGAAGACACTTGAAAAGTATTGAACTGATATAAGAGAGAAGCTTAACCTCAAGAATTTAACCTAACCTCTGTTGCCCAGAAGAGCTGGGTATAAGACCTCTCATGTAACTTGTAGTTGAGGACCAAAACATATTGCCAGGAGGTCATTTTAACTCAAATGTGAGCTTGCAAATATTTCTCCAGTAAAATCAATGAAATAATCAAGTACTTTTAGAATGAATGTTATTACTCTATTTCTTAAACTTTAACATTGCTTTTAGAAATACCACTTTATTGCTTCTCTGATTCAGTGCAACTCTGAATATCATAAACCAACCCAAAATATTTCCTTGTGAAGATGCTGAAGTACACAGGATCACACAAGCTACCAAAAGCAATGTTCCACATTGACGAAAGAGTGAAAAACAGAATCAAGCTTGTTTACACACACTATGGAGCTCAAAGAAACCTCACTGCTACTGTAGAGTGAATTGGAATCCTCCTGACTCAGCCTCCCAGGGGGCTGAATTACAGGCATGTACCACTGCATCTGGCTCGTTTTTACCTCTATTCCCAAGACCAAGACAGAAGAGCAACCACAAAAAAATCCAATTTCTACTCCTGATATTCAAACCTATCGCCAGTACATGTAAAGTATAAATAAGTACAAATTTATAAATATTAGGTAGTATATTTATTTAAGGTTTCTGTTGAGTCTTTTGGCTGATAATGATAGAGATTTTAACTTTTGTGTTGGGAGCTTATATTTGACATAATTGCTCATACCACTCTTTACATAATACTGTTTTAATATTAGATGCATGTAAATTTTACATGAGGTCCACACACAAAAGAAAAAGATCACTGTAGACACAAATTTTACTGTAAAAAATAGCCACCAGAAGCCAAGTAAACTGTAGTTTTCTATAAAAATCAGGTCCCCTGTTTTAATTCCTATTTATCATGATTATTGTGATCTTCATTTGAACATTCAGTCAGCATTATAAAAACCAGAATGATGCTTTTAACCATCTTTTAAAATAACGTTTTGAACACTGACACTGGGACAGTTACAAACTAAGAATTTTATCTCATTCAACCCTTATTATTAACTCTATGGGACAGGAAACTGACGATCATTTCATTACATTTATAAAGCTAGTCATTTATAGACAAATTTGATTTCAAATTTTATTTTCCTTTTATATGTTTTTTCTAAAACTCATTCATAAGTTATTGTGGTTTCTTTCTGGGTACATTTATAAGCATATGTGCATTACCTGCATTACTGGTAAATGATAAAACATGTTTAAAATTAAAAGTTTAATTCAGGTTTAAAAATAATGAAACTAACAACCAATCAAAAGTAATAATTTGAAATATTAATTAACAGTTACCTTTCGAACAAATGATTTTCTATATTCATTCATTTCACCAATAATGGCACGTCTGAATTCTCCATAATCAACTTTGTCCTTGCTGTTGCCATTGGCAATCAGAATTATCCATGAGGATTCAAAATCCTAGAAGTATTCAGCATTTCTGTTATATCTTTAAGTCATATATGGCCACAAGAAATTGTACTCCTATTTTGTTACATCTCCTACAAGACTAGATAAGGTAGCTAACAAATTGTTTTTTAAAAACTACACATAAATCCAATCAAACCCCAATGAATATTGCATAAAGGCACTCAGAGGTGAACAGCTCTTTAATCAGTTATGCACAGTCCCTAAGATGAATGTGAACTTTGCGTACTGCAAACAATTTTAATAAAATTTGGGGAAAAAAAGGTGAGTAGCAACAAAACCTCATGAATGTTTAAGTTATTTTATTGTTGATCGACAAGTTGTAATTATACGTATTTATGGAGACAATCTGGTGTCTGAATACATGCATATATTGCAGAATATTAACTCAGACTAACATAACCATCACCTCAAATACTTATCATTTCTTTGTAGTGAGAATATTTAAAATCCTTTTTAGCTACTTTGAGATATACAATATGGTATTATTAGCTACGGTCATTATGCTGTGCAGTATACAGGACCACTAAAAAGTACCCCGCCTGTCTTATAAAGCTTTGTGCCTTTTAACCAAGTTTTCCCTTTACACTGCCTCTGCATCACTACCACGAGCCCCATCCCTCCCCTACTTCTGCAGCTCAGCCAAGCCCTGATCACAAATTGATCCCTTTCAGTTCAATTCTTATGTACTAAAAAAAAAATGGTTACCATGTAGCTGCTTTTGAAGATTTCATTATGTATATTTTATCTATGACAATTCAAAATCACTTCAGATTCTGAAATGTTTCCCACGGCATTGTGACCACTAACTGCATTTCTGCTAGTCTTCTGGCTTGAAAGTATAGAGATTTGAATACTCTAATACGATTCTATAATTTACACTGAAAGGTGTAATTTTGAGTTAAGCCCTTATGCCAGCTTGTTCGCTTCGCTATTGACATTTACTTCTTTGGCAAATGTACTGTTTCATAGAATATTCTATTCACAGCATTCCTAACAACGGAGAAATTGCAGCTTGCATTCTTAAACCCAAATAAATACACTTTCAATGCTTCAATCAAGTTGTTAGCTTTAAATGAGAATGTAAATAAAACACCTAGCAAGGCGCCTGGCAAATAAGTACCCAACAAATGTTTGCTTTCATCTCCTCCTAAATTTTTCAAATAAAGCTTCAATTAGAAAACTAAATCTCAAGATGTTCTGCCTCCCTTCAATTCTCACCAATGCATACTTTTTGACTTGCGTAATTCCCTGTACAATACAGAGATTTAAGTTGACTGTGCCGTTCAATTGAAAGTGAGCTTGACCTTTAAAAACATGAGTAATATGAACAGGATAAAATACATTTGCTAGCCCAACTCATAGAATTCTAGAATTAAAGGATATTTTTTAAAATTTAAAAGGGATTATTTTAAGAAGGGAGGGTAGGGACAAGGGGAAAAAATGAGAACCAAGACCTGTCATGTAAAGGTACAAGATCCCAATAATGAATGTAACTGTACTGTATACCTAGAATGTACCAATAAACTCAATAAAAAAAATTAAGCAATTTTATATCAGTAGCAACAAATTTATAGAACTTTTGATAGAGTACAAAATGAAAAACATTCGGTTAAAGAAAACTAAGGTAAATTAATTAACAACATTTCCATGTAAATCAGGCTCTTTGGAGCCCATAAAACTTTTTATTTCAAATCAAGGAGAATGATTATGTGTTCACACAAATATTTTCTAGTTCCAGTTAGACCCAGGTTGATGATTTTTAGCATCTTACTCTTCCCACCCTTGCATGTGTTCACCAGGGCATGAGCAGTTTTCAGTGATAAATAACAGGAAATAAAACATGACCATTTCTTTAAATGTATGCAAAGAGGGAAGCTTTTTCATATTCATATAATATATAATATCACTGTTAGAAGTTTCATACAATTATTGTCATTTTATTCATAAACCTAGTCATAAACATTTAGCAAACCACCAAAAGGGAAGTGCAGCATTAATACAGTTGAGGCCAGGTTATCTGGGCTCTAGTTTTCTATTTATTATTTTTCAGTGTTTGTCAGTAAAGACACCAAGGCTTTCACATTTCCTATTGCTGTTAGTTTTTTTACCCAAGAAAGAAAGAGGTGAAGATAGATGATCCCTAGTGTGAGCATTAAGTTTAAGTGTCATGAAACCCAAAAGACAGGTATTTCACAATCACGATAAGCAACATCATACTGGCACAGAATTTTACAGTTGAGAGGCCATCCTGTGACATAACTTTCTCACTTCAACTTCCAAGCAAATCTGATAATAATAATTATCTCAGAATTGCTCAGGTACAACCTGTAATCAGAAACGGTAAAAGACTTGCCTAAGACCACATATCAAAATAACAAAGCTAGAACTTGAACCTAAATCTCACAGTAATTCCCCATGTTCCACAGAATACCTTGTGGCAAGACCATTTTAAGTAAAAGAGAGCAATGCAAAAGAACTTTTTATCTGAAATCCTTTATATGAACCAAATTCATGTTCTTTTAGAATACAATCCAAACTTCTTAGCCTAGCACGCAAGACTTCAATATACTAGGCTTATTTCCCACCCGTTTTCCTTCGTTCCACACATTTTTCTGTCCAGACTGGTGCACTATTTATTCTGCACTCATTATATGCCAGGTTCTACCCCAAGGGCTAGAGGAAGAGCAGAAAACCAGAAGCATCCCGTTCCCTCTCTGATGGGACTTATGTTTTTTGGGAGGAGAGCCAATAACCCCTTACAAAGTGGTAGGAGGAAAGCAAAAATGTGAAATTGATATAGAAAGGCACAGAGATCACACTGTGTACTCTTTTAGACAGAGGTGTCAAAGTAAGAGAGGAAATTGTGATTTTTTTTAATTGAGTTTATTGGTACATTTTAGGTATACAGTACAGTTACATTCATCATTGGGATCTTGTACCTTTACATGACAGGTCTTGGTTCTCATTTTTTCTCCTTGTCCCTGCCCTCCCTTCACCCCCTCCTCCCCTCCCATTTACAAACACTTTATTTCCATTTTTTCATTTTCTCAAATTTTTTCTTTTCCCTTATTACCTTTCCCCCACCCTTCCTACTTTCCCTACACCTTTAGCCCTTTTCTTCCTATTTCACATTGTCAACTGACAATATGAATAGGAAACGGTGATTTGAATAAGGAAGTCCAGCATATAAAGATTGAAAGGCAGATTGATTAGTCACAGCATAGGGAACAGTATAGAGAAAGTGAACATTTGCAATTTGGGAAATAGGCCACACTCTCCATGCCTTCACATGGTTCCACTTTTCATGAAATATCAATCGTCTGTGGAAATTCTTCCCATCCTTCGAAACTCAGCCCAAATGTATCCTCTTCCAGGCACCCTTCTATGATCTTCCATCTTCCCTCTCCTTCCCCATAACCTGACTCAGAGTTAGTTACCACCCCACGTGTTCCCAAAGCATCCTCAACTTAATATATATAATATTTTATAGTCATTTTTTCTCAATTATAAGATCATGAGAGTAGTGTGCATATTCTCAGAACTTAGCACAATGGCTGGATATTAAGCTCTTAATAAATATATGATGAACTTGAATCGTTTGTAGAAAAGTGGCTGTACCTTGAGTCCATAATTCTAAGTGAAATAAATAAGACACAGAAGGCTAAATGTCACATGGCTTCTTTTATATGAGAAACACAAGGTATAAATAATTTAAAGAGGGGCCGGGGATTTAGCTCAGTGGCACTGTGCCTGCCTGGCAAGCACAAGAGCCTAAGTTCAATCCCTAATACTGGGAAAAAACATAAAAAAATAATTTAAAGAGCAAAGTAAAAAGAAAGATGATAATAAACAGAAAAGTGGACTTTGTGGAGATGGGAAGGGGATCTTGGGATGGGAGGAGACTGGAGGAGAAAGGAGGGGAAGTAAAAAGAATCAAGATGCCACATGTACAATTACCAGTACCCCATGATGAATACATTCATTATATATCACATATGCTAACAAGAAAAATTTTAAATAAAACTAAAAAATTAAATAAATACATGAAAGAGAAATGAATGTTAAAATTTTTTAAATCAAGAAGACCTTCAGCCTGGTAACTTAACACTAGCAGCAGGTCACAAATGAGATAAATGGGCTACAAAAACTTCAGTAGGAAATCGAGAATGCCACCTGAGAGTAATACATCGCTCACTGCAGAACACGTTCTGTGGTACATACCTTTTCAGATACTTCCAAGTGAAATACTTTTAAAGCTTGCTTAAAATCTGCCTTATTTAAAAATCCACATCCTTCCTTGTCCAACTGTTGAAAGTATTTTCCCAATCCCATCAAAATGCGAACACCTCTTTTCTGCAGTTTTTCTTTCAGTGTATCTGTTTAAGAAAAAGGAGAAATAGAAACTAGTTCTTCCTAGGCACAGAGGCATCAAGCAGAGACAATTTTCTCTCCTATAAGTGAAAAGTATTGGAAATAAGGGGTATGAATATTCAACCAAATCTCATGTGTGACTGAGGGAAGACTGGAAAATTCAGTATTTTTAATTAAGAGAGTTAAGCAGTCTACTCAGTCCCATGTAAATATACCAGAACTATAGCACCACTGTGTGGTGAAAGTGTTACATTTTAAATACAAGAAAATGTTTCTCTTAGCAAGAAATAACCTAAATGTCACAAATGAAATATTCGTTGTATTGTTTAGATGTCCATATTTAACCACTCCCATCTTTAATCTCTTTCCTCTTTTTTGTTACTGAATTACAAAACTGAAAGCAGACAAGTCATCCAAAACTACCATTTCAAAAATTTTTTAAAAATCTGAAATCCTCAAATTACAATTTATATATTAAATTTTTGGAGTACAAGCGTACACTTATATACTTGAAGTAACCCCTCCTCCTTCTAGAAAGGCATAAGACGTTATATGCTCCCTTGTAGTTCAATTCTTTCACTTACTGCAGTTCATACCATATTTAAGAAAATAAATTCTAAAGCAGTGATTAGATCTAATACATTAAAGAACAAGTGTCACAGATTCAATATTGACAAGAACTGTGTTCACCATGATAGAATATAAAAAACTACTAAAAATGATACCAAGAATATCTGAGTTGAAATGCCAATCTCAACCATCATATGTGCTTCTAGCCTCTTCTAGTGAAATACTTTGAGAGCGTGCTTAAAATCTTTACATTTAAGTGATATCTCAGGAATCATCAAAACCCATATAGTATAGGTTGATTTTTGTGATTAATGTCTTTGTTCTACACTATGAGACCTAACAAAGGAATTATCTCTTACAGCCTAGTATACTACATACAGGCAGGGTTATAAGATTGGCCTCTAAGATCAGATGTTAAAAGAATGTAGTCCCCAGCATCTACATATGTCTCATTTATTATCCTCAGTTTGAAGATGAAAAAGTACAAGATATTCCCGCAAGGACATACGTCAATCAACAATTGAGTCCAAACATGAACTACAGCTATCCCAGTCTAACACTTTTTCTTTTACACTACACTATCACAAATCTGTAGGACATTACCTAATGCATAAGACAACTATATTACAAAAATCAACTTTACATTTTATTTTATGAGTAAATCCCATATTATGTAGTACTTTCTAAAATTCTTGACTTCATAATTCATATAAAACTATTTAGTTAGGACCATTAAAGTAAGAGGAACCCTAAAGTATTTTTTTTCAATTAAACTGCACCTTTTATTTTTTTTTTTAGCTTTAATTGAGTTTATTGGTACATTTTAGAGATACAGTACAGTTACACTCATTGTTGGGATCTTGTACCTCTACATGCCATGTCTTGGTTCTCATTTTTTCCCCTTGTCCCTGCCCTCCCTTCACCCCCTCTCCCCCTCCCTATCTACAAACACTTTATTTCCATCTTTTCATTATCACACATTTAAAGTATTTTTAAGAAGTAAGTAAATATAACAACTTTAAAAATCAAATAGGAAATAGAAAGCAAGCGGTACAAAACTGAGAAGTACCTTGAAAATACTGCTTTAACTAATTACAATGAAAATAGTTGCAAACTAAAACTAGCTCTTGAGAGTGGTGAAAATACATACCTTGTAGGGGAAAGGGAAGAAGGGAAAAAATATGAGAAATGGAAAAGATGGAAACAAAGTCTTTCTAAATAGGGAAGGGTGTAGGAGGTGAAGGGAGGGCAGGCGAATGGGGAAAAAATAAGAACAAAGATACATCATGTAAAAGTACAAGATCCTAATGATGAGTGTGACTGCACTGTATACCTAAAATGTACCAGTAAATTTAATGAAAAAAAATAATAAATAGGAATAGTCATCAAGGGCTACTTGTCTTTCCTATTGTGTCCTATCTGGTCTCTCTCTAAATTCACCCTTGTTACCTTAGATCCTTTCTCTAACCAATATGTAGAATTAAAGCTTTCAGTTAATCCATACCAAATCATGTTTCTCTCCTCTTTGATCCACAGGGCCCACCTGTCACTCTTTTTGTAAAGTCCAAGATCTTTATCCTGGCCTATAAAGGCCACCAGATCTGACCACTGCTCTAGTCCCTCTCCTTCCGTTCATGTTCTCTCACATCATTTTTATTAGTCCTGCTCACTTTGAGCATTTCTTGGATGCATCAGTTTGGGGATTTATATTGCTGCTCTTTTCCTAAACATTTGCATGGTTGGCCAATTCACATCAGTTAACATCTAATTAGAAATTACCCATTTCTATGTCCTATTACCCTGATGCCATCTTGAACTCCTTGCTACAGTCTGAAAATATATATTTTATTTGTTTACTTTTCATTGTCTCCCCCACAATTTTGTTATTATATTTTTGAAGTGACTAACACTGTACAATCTTGTACATTCAATAAATATTTTTAAATGTACAGTAAAAAGGAAAAGAAAACACATACCTTGAATGCCCTTAAAGGCCAGCCTATCTTTGGTTTCTTGAATAATTATATCTTCTTCATGTGCCATGGATGTAGTTCTGTAATTGACATGTCCACATTAATAAATATATATTCATACATTATATACATATATATTCTACTTTACAATCTTTAGTATAGAAGCTCTAACTGTTCCCTGCTCCAAACCTAAAGAAATTCTCAGAGTTGGAAGAGTGTAAAAGTCAATCAAGTCCCAGTTGTGCTTGCTGCTTTGATTCCAGAAGTTCTTTTAAAATCCTTAAAACCTTGTAAAAACTACCTATGAATGTATGCATTTTTACAGCTGCTTCAATGCTCTTTTAAAGACTTAAAACAAATTTAAAAGCAAGTCATAAAATATAAAAATGTCATTTTAAAAACCCCATACATTCATTTTTAGAAATATAGTAAATAACCAAACATTGATTTTCTTATAACCAATTCATGTGATAGATCCCCTAATGCACATATAGAACCAATTTTTGTTGTATTTAATACCAAGAAACACTAAGCAAGAAGAGTGTGGGTTTGTGCAATTTAAAAACTGAAAATTACTTAAAATCATTTTATTTGTAGCATTATTTTTAACTATGTATGTCATCCATCAACACATACCATAGGAATATGACACCAAAGACTTTTTATGCTAAAGAATTATAGAAAAAATATGGGAAATTTTTAAATTGATATCCCATATTTCAAAACTTAAGTCTTTGGCATCATTTGATTAAAAATGTCATAAGAAAGGTAAAAAAATGTTATGCTTAACATAAAATTGGATTTTTAAATGCTTAATTGATTATAACTGTTCTCACACATGAGATCTATTTGAACACAAAATGGCACATAAGGTAGAAATACCTATGTTTTAAAACAATACGTATATCTTAGATTACATCTTCCTCATGCGCTATGGGCACAGTTCCGTAATTGACATGTACACACTGAATATATATATATATACATATATATATATATATACATGTGTACATATTTATATCTTATAATCTTCAATATAGAAGCTCTAACTGTTCCCTGCTTCAAACCCAAAGAAATTCTCAGAGATGGAAGAGTGTAAATCAGACAAGTCCCAACTGTGGGACTAACAAAAATCTACATGTTTCGTGATAAAGACTCTCGCTTTAAGATAAAAATGGTGTTTTCACACACTTTCAAACATGATAAATGCATATCTGACTTACTTCACAGAATCCAAAGCTATTTGATCAATATTTGTGATTCGAAGTCTAAGTAATATATTTTCTTTTATGCTTTGTGGAAGATTTGAATGATCAGAGCTCAGAAATGTCAAGGTTCCACCCTGAATAAAGAAAGGAACAAGTGGATTATTTAAAGCTATAAAGCACACAAGACATTTTTTTAAAAACAACTAATATTAATTTAAAATGTTTGCTTTTTATTATAAGTGACATGGCATATTATAATAATAAATAATAATAATAATAATAATAATAATAATAATAATAGGGCCAGGGATTTAGCTCAGTGGTTCCACCACCTGCCTTGCAAGCACAAGGACCCAAGTTCAATCCCTGTTACAAAAAAAAATAATAATAATATTAAGTATATTTGGAGGGCAGAGACAAAGGGGAAAAAATGAGAACCAAGACCTGACCTGTAAAGGTACAAGATCCCAATAATGAATGTAACTGTACTGTATACCTAAAATGTACCAATAAACACTCAATGAGAGAAAAAAAGTAAGTATATTTGAAGAATATTTAGAAAGTACACAGGCTTTAGCCAGTACCATAGAAATACAAATCTCCCAAGCATTCAGTTAGAACAGTCTTCTATTTAATGATCCATGTGAACAAAAAAGGCAGCTGCACAAGAAATTCTGATTTTTTAAAATAAGAATCACCAACAAAAAACAAAAGTGTTCCATCAAAATTATGACATCCCTAAATGCAGGAATAGAGTACTAGTCCACAGAGAGGTGCCTGTGAATTGGTGAATGTGACAGATGTATCATAATCTTTCTTTCACCTGGTCTTCTGATGATAGACATGACATAAAATAAAACCTAATTTAAACCAATTAGAACATCAAAGTTTCAGTGACAAAATTCTTACCCAAAATTATTAAGCCAAATTTAAAGGATTACTTTAATTCCTCCATTGTTCATATGCACTAATGGCTATTATAAAGACAAGTACAAGTTAAAACTGAGACTGTTATTTCTTCCTGTTGAGCATAAGGAACACGATTTCCCTCCCTTTCTTTTTTTCTTAGAACAGTTAGTGTAAGCATTTTCTTCTCCCTGAATATTTATATAAATTATTAACTCTATGACCTCAGAAAGTCTTTTTCCAGGACCTGGAAACTACTCTGAAATGTAAACAGAAAGGGAGATGGCACTTCTATCTAGTTCTTCTAAGAAGGTTGGAGAATAATATCATTTGGCACCTTGCTCCAACTGCAAAACCACCTTCTGTCACAATGATATGAAATGTTTATTTTCCCGCTGAATAAAGCCAATTAGATAACACAGTTGGTCATTGTGATTACTAGGTGACTCAGCACAAACTGGGACAAATGGTGCAGTCAAGTCCTATTACTTGAAGGCAAGTTACTTGTATGCAATGATAGCATTTTTAGGTAGATAAAAGGGTGAGATTTCTGTCTTTACAATTTCATAGCAGGCTGCCTCTAATGTAATATGTTAACGCTTTCATATTTATTCGGTAATAAAGCTATTTTCTTTACTTCTTTTGAATGAGGCTTCTGGGGTTGGCAAAAGATTTGGTTTTAAATTCTATTTCCTCAACACTAGTCATGGGATAATTCTTAAAATATTTTTCAAGAAAGCAATGAAGCAATGAATTGCAGCTTCCCAACCAAGATTGCAGATGGGTTCCAGCTTTGCCAAGCTAATGAGCCAGATGAATTTAGAGGCAAGCAGAGCTCCCTCCACTGATAGCTTCCACCTTGGAGCGGTTTGCTCTCTGCTTCAACACACTGCTCAAATATTTTCATTTGCTCTGAGAAAATCCTAGAGATAAATTGGGAAGGACTTCAGCGAAGATCTTCTTCTGCCTGACTTATACACTAGCAGCTTTCTAGCGATTAAAGACAGCCTAGATCAAGCCCAGGAAAAAATTAACATCCAAAGTTGATATTGTAAGTAAATTAAGGCAGAGTCATTAAAGTAGGAAAAGCTGTATTTTGAATTTGGCCCCAAAGCTTTGAAGCCTACGATCTATAAGTACATTATGCAAGAATATAAATTTATACCCCTGACGAACAAAATATAATCAATATACAATTGAAAAATTAAAGCTACCTCTTCCTCTGATTAGCTTTATATTTGTAGTTAAATATCGAGCAACTTACAAAAGAGATGAAAGGATAAATTATCTCTACCAAAGTCCTTTATGGTAAGAGACTAGCCCGTTTTTACACATCCAAGAAAATGAGCACAATAATTTATCAAACTGGAAACTTAGTAGAGTGGAAATATCAAAAATTTTCTTGGCTACTTATTCCATAGACTAAAATTGCCCATCTATCCCCCAAAACACAATGCCTTGCTTAGTCGTTTAGGATCACTAACCTCAGCGTTCTATCAAAGTGGACACCATCATATGAAAAATAGTCTTTGACAACTAAGTGTGACATTTTTAATTTTCCAGAAAAAGAAGTAGATGATTTTTAAAGGTAAATTGGAAAATTAGAAATGGAAATAATTCTTAATTTTAGAGAAAAATTTAAACAGTTTTGACTATAAAATTTGCCAGCATTTATCTATGCTTCAAATGTAATGGGTGAGTTTTTCCCTACTGGACAAATATTTCATCTCACTGGTATCTAGGGCAAGGCGTTTTAGGAACTAGTGAACAATGAAGCAAACTTTCACGATGTCACAATGTCGCAATGTGACAACATAGCACTTTCGCTTTCATAAATTCATGAAGTCTCTACCAACAAAGAGGCAGGACACAGATGTTGTCTTTGTCCTAGTGCTTTTAATACAAAAATACATATTAAAAAGTATTCCTCTGGGGATTTAATAAAATTTAGAATTTTAATATTAATTTAAAGCCATTCTTTAAAAGCACAGTGCCTAACTGAGCCAGGCGTGGTCATGCACACCTCTAATCCCAGCACTCGGGAGGCTTAGGCAGGAGGATCACTGTGAGTTTGAGACCAGCTGGGGCTACATAGTGAGTTCTAGGTCAGTCTCAACTACATAGTGAGACCCTGTCTCAAAAAACCAGCGCCTACTAAATACACATCGATTTTCAATATTATAGAAACACGGCAGTGGCTCAGATAGGTAAGTCCTTACCTTCAAAGAGTTACAGTATTATGACAGAGAAGGCTAGTGGATGAAAATATAGCTACATAATATAATGTCAGGTATTGAGGCTGAATAAAAATTAAACCTAGTAAAAGAATAGAAAGAATAAAGAAGCTGTTATAGATGGCAAGGTCATATTTGACATCTCTACTCTTTAATCTTCATAATAAAGCAACACCCAAAAGTTACGAAGGCTTTTGAGAAAGAAATTAGTAATTTTTCTGGCATCAGGATGCAAACAAAAACTGAAAGAAAGACTATGAAAGATAGAAAAGAGGATGTATCAAGGAAGATCCAAAGAATTTACAATACAGAACTAGGAGGCCTAGAATTATGAGTTAAACTAAAATATTATCTTTATATTTAGATCGTAATAATCCAGGCAGAATATGTAGTACATAGCAGTTTATATGGTCTTTTCAGTTGAGAAAAGGGTAAGACTGTGGATGAGAAGTTTCAGACTCTCCTGTAAGAATTATTTTAAGCAATTGAAGAGACTCTGATATGTGTAGCAGTGTCACATATGTGAGTATAATTATATGTGTGCATAAGGGTACATCCATTCAGAACGTATTATGTGTCTGATATTAATTATGAGGGAATACATATGTGGAAACACTTATGCAGGTGTGTCTGTGACTACATGTGCATATTCACATGAGTATTATCTTTATAGCTGGCATCAAAGTTTCTTAAAGGTATATTTAGGAAAAGATTGATAGGGCAAATAGAAAGGAAAAGATAGGTTTGACAAGAATATCTGAATAGTAGAAGAACATCCCCTCCTCCCCAAAAAAGAGAGGAGTTGGGCTGACTAATTCTATATTTTTAAAATGAAAGATAGGGGTCCAGGGATTCAGATCAGAGGTGTAGAACCTGCCTGACAAGCACAAGGTCCTGAATTCAATCTTCAATACAAGAGAGAGAGAGAGAGAGAGAGAGAGAGAGACAGAGAGAGAGACAGAGAGACAGAGACAGAGAGACAGAGAAGAAAGAAAGAAAGAAAGGAAAGAGAGAGAGAGAGAGAGAGAGGAAGGAAGGAAGGAAGAGAAGAAAGAAAGAGGAAGGCAGGAGAGGCAAGGAATGAAAGAGTCACTTGCAAGGCAGGCGGTGGAACCCCTGAGCTAAATCCTGGGCTTACTATTTTTTGTTTGTTTGTTTGTGGCCCCAGGTTTTATAAAATTATGGCATGAATGATTGCTATGAATAGTGCTTCATTTTAGTCATGTTAAAGTATGTGAATTTTATAATTTAAAATTTCAGAGTACTGGGGCTGGAGGAATAGCTTAGTGGTAAATTACGTTCCCAGCACAGACAGAGCCCAGTGTTCAATCTCCAGAACCTCAAAAAATTTTAAAAGTGAAGAATGGAATTTCAGAGCACCATACACACTGTAACAGTACCCATGATCAGCCGACATTAGGGAAACCTTTTGTTACACCATGTGAGTTTTCCATGGTGCACATATCAAATAAAGGATGGGTTATGAGCTCCAGAGACCAACAGCCCCCCAGGAAGGAAAGCATGCACCCCAGAGAGTAAGCCTTCTCTAGAAGGAACATCACTCCTAGTGTTATTGAGGTAACCACTTAACCAATAATACAGCCTTGAAGAGCCTGCAAAAATGCCAAAAGATAAGCTTCCTTGGATGCAACCTACATTGAAGAATGGGGGAGAGGGGTAATACAGAATAATTCTAAACTTGCTTTCAGATTGCTGGGATTTAGACCCTAGAGGCAGAGCCTTCTTGGAAAACATCAAGCATTACCCACTCACATCATAGTCCCTGATCAGGAGAAAGGAGAGGAAGTAACACTGAAGACAAGAAGCCCAGCTTCTCCATCCACATGGAGATTCCACACAATTCCACATCTGCTATTAAATCTTTTGCACATGTACAATTTAAACTTACAATATAAAAGTCACCAAGTTGGTACTGTTTTCCTTTTCTTCGTCCGCATTGATGACTATAAATGTTTTTTGGAATAAATGGAAGCACATTTGTTCTAGAAGATAAATGAAAAACAATTAAAGTTATTCATCATCTCTCAGACATAATCATCTCAAGAGTTTTCACATTTCGCAGCATACCTATTTTTTCCAAACTGCCGATATTCATATATCGTAAGGGACTGGTCATTGGTAAAAAAGAACCCAATCAAATCTCTGCAGGCATCACGTCCATTTCTAGAAAAATGCAATACCAAAGATTTTCAAATAGAACTATTTTTAAATTAAATAATGAGATAAAATTAAGCATCTAAGAATGGGAAAACATACCCTTCAGTGTGTGGTAGGTAAGCTATAGGAAACACGCCACAGCTTGTTGAAGTGTCAAATTTGACTTTGATGAAGAAAAACACTATCTTATACAAATATGAATGTGGTTATGTTACAAAGCATGGTACTAATTCAACCCACATTTTCAAAATGGAGAAGACCTTAAAAATTAAAAATCTTTAGATTGCCAGAAACTACTCAAAGATATATGGTTTATTGTCTTTTATTGCCATAAAAAATTTTAAAACTACCAAATAAGTATTGCAATTTAAAAGTACATATCTTACCAGAAAAATACACAGAAGCCACCAACAAGAACTGCATATTATTGAGAGTTTATAAGACTGAGATGATAGATCTTGCTTATCATCTGCTCCATTATCAATAATCCATGAAAACTAAAACCGTTAAAATTAAGCATCATACGTAAAACTTTATTTAAAATAGAATTTTATAGCAGTAATGCATATCTTTTAAAAATTCACTTCTAAGTTTCTTTTTAAAATACTGTTTTGTTTTGTGCTACTGGAGATTGAATACAGGGCCTTCACACTGAGCCACATCCCCACCCCTTTTTTTATTTCTTATTTTAAGACAGTGTCTAAATTATCTGTTCTAGGCTCGAACTCCTCCTCCAACTTTCCAGAGTGCTGGAATTATAGGTGTTTGTCACCATGAACAGCTATTAAAATACATCTAAAATCACTTTTTTTGTCGTTATTGTTTGGGGGGGGGTTGTTTGGTTGGCTGGGGAGGTTGCTTGTTTTAGTTTCTTCTCTTTTTTTTTTGTACCAAGGATTGAACTCAGGACCTTGCACTTTGGAGGCAGGCGCAGTGCTGCTGAGCTAAATCCCCAGCTTGTTTTAGTTTCTTCATACAGGGCCTCACTCTAGGCTGACCTTGAACTCACTATGTAGCCCAGGCTGGCCTAAGACTCCCAGCAATCCTTCTGCCTCAGCCTCCCAAATCCTGGGATTACAGGCATGCAGCACCATATGGCACTTAAAAACACTTATTAAATAACTCCAATTAAAATATTTTTCTGAGAGTTTTGTATTTTCTATATTTTCTGTAATAGATTATTAGCTATCACCTAAAAACATCTATTCTAAAATTCATATTTTTTGCTTAAGTGGGAAAATCTGTCTAATCTAATTATTTTTATGTGAAAAGAGAATACATATTTATCATTATATAATTTTAAAATTTAATATATGCAATTACCTTGATATGATCCTACTATCGAATTGTACTTTATGAGAAAGCACATTTTCAGTTAATGTAGAGTGGGTCCTGATCCTGTTAAAAATATATATTTTGTCAATAATTTTTAAGGTATCTGCATTGGAGTAAATAATAAATGTACTAAAAATAAGTTATGATCGTTTTGAAAGAATACAAACTGGATAAAGATGGTGACACAAAACTCTCAGCTTGCTAATATACAGCAAACACAAAACAAATCATCCTGAGAAGGAGTATAGATAAATGACTTTAGCACTGGCGTCTATAGCACAAAATGCTATAAAAGTGAGTACTGGACAGAGGGAGCACACTTGTGACTGGCACTGCGGCAGGCCAATGTGAAAGCCACTTCTAACACTCTACTTCCCTCCCACCATGGAATTTGCTTTTTTATAATCTCTGCAATTAGGGCTAAGGAACTCAGTTCTGCTACTAAGCTTGTTTGTCTGCATGAGACAAGGGCCTGGGAAGAGCTCCTGCCTGTGAACATGAGAAGTATACAATGATGCCATAAAGCCACTGTACCACCAAGCTATATCAGAAAAGCCAGGCAGAGCTAGCAAAGCCAGGCTAGAGCGACAGCATCATTACACCTCTAAATGAAAACCAACCAGCAGGGTGTGGTGGCGCACGCCTGTACCCCCAGCACTCAGGAGGCTGAGGCAGGAGGATTGCTGTGAGTTTGAGACCAGCCTGGGCTACATAGCGAGTTCCAGGACAGCCTCAACTACATAGTGAGGCTGAGGCAGGAGGATTGCTGTGAGTTTGAGATCAGCCTGGGCTACATAGTGAGTTCCAGGACAGCCTCAACTACATACTGAGACCTTGTCTCAAAACAAAACAAACAAACAAACAAACACACACACAACAACAACAACAACAAAATCCAACCAATCACCTGGTTATGTAAGAAAAATAGTCTGACTCATTTAGCCACTGTCAGTCAGGTTTTCAGTTATGAGCAGTTGGAAGTACTTCTTACCAAAATAAAAGAATAGTAGGAAAGAGTGCTGGGTGAAGTTCGAGCCTTGAAATATGTGGGTCAATTATATCGTCTTTAATCAGACAGCACTGAATAAATTCCCAAAGTCTGTGAACCCCAACATTGTTTAAAAATATAATGCAATTAATTGCATATCTTTAATTAATTTGTTATGAAATGTTGCTTTATTTTTTCATAGAAGCAAGAATAAAGAAAAATGTTTTTATTAATATATACTTGTATTACATTGAAATATTGTTTCTAAACACAAATAGAATTTGCCTTTTGAAAAAATATATATAATGCAAAACCCAAATGCACACATTTTGGCATCCTACAATGACATCCTTTCTACAAACCTGAAATAACAATAATGTAAATAGTACATAAGTGTGCCAGTGATTGAGATCTTGAAAAGCTACCCCTCTATAAATCCAGGCCTTTGCAAAAGAAAACATGGGGGGATAAGAAACAATAGCCTGCTAACCAAAGGACCGTGAACACAGTGGAGCCACAAAACCTTCATTATCTCAATCTAGTTTAATCCACTGGTATAATGTAATTATTGAATACCTACTTTGTGTCTGGAACAGTTCTAGATGTTGAGAAAATAATAGCAACAGTAACACCTACCATTTATTGAAGATTTTCTAAACACTAGTCATTGTCAAGTCATTTTACCATGTATTGGCTTATTTAATGCTTGCAACAACTCTTTGGGATAAGTATTACTGTCCCATTTTAATAATAAATTTTACAGAGTCAGAGATAGGTTAAGTAAATTGCTCAAGGCCATATGGCTAGTAAATGGTAGAGGCAGAAAAAATTTTCCCCATAACCATCATATTATATTGCTTCTCATGAACAGAACTCTCTTTAATAGTGATAGCATCAATGAACCAAGAGTCTTCCTGAAAAGACAGAACTAAATACATATTGACATTTTAAAATCCACAATGCCAAATGAGGTTTTAGGTTCCTAATAAACAGCACAAAGTGGATAGAGCACAATTGGCTCTATCCAATTTCTGGACCAATACATAAAGAAAAAACAAGCATATTAAATATCTGACATGCGGTTTATTATTGATAAAGCTGTTGGATGGCTTACGTATGCAGCAACAATAAGCCAAATTTTCCACACTAGAATTAAATAAATTAACCTACTTATGCTCCCTGAAGAAGTACCTGGTAGAAATTGAGTGCAGAGGATAAAATGTGTGCTTCTGCAGGCAGCTGCTCCCCAAGGAAAATGAGACAGGAAAAGCTAAACTGCACATGCCTATTCCTGCTTCTAGGTGTGAAGCCCAGTTCTTTCCTCCTCTTTCAGGAAAATGAAAGAGAGGATAAAATCTACAAATCCAGTAATCCTAAGAAATGCTCTCCTAGGATTATTCAGGCAACTGGATCCAGTTGTTGGTAGACAAGAGATTCTTAAAGAGAATACAAAGGACGTGAACATACAGGAAAAGGTTGGTAAATTGGTCAACTTTCATGTAAGGATATCTGGATGACCAATATATATGGAAAGATACTCCATTAGTCTCCAATGAAATGCAAAACGCATTCATAAGAATTAAAATTTTAAAAAGCAATTTCAAGCATTGGCAAGAATATACTGCAACTAGAAAATTCACTCTGCTACTAGTGTAAATTGCCAGTTTGAAAAACTATTTGCAGTAATTTTTAAAGTAACAAATGGTCCAGAAATTCTACTTCTATTTACTCAGTTTAATGAATACAAATGTTCACTAAAAAGCATGCACAAGTAAACTCACTGCAGCACTACTCATAAATAAGTCAAATGTTTTTCAACCTTGGTTAATAAAAACAGTCATGGTATGTTTATATAATGAAAGAATATATGACAATGAGGTTAAAAAAAAAACTACAAATAGCCACATGGATAAAACTCACAAACACAATACTGAGTGAAAGCAAGACACTTTTGTTATGTGTATGTTTATCAGAATATCATGCTGTATATCAAATAAGTAAATAAATAAATGCCATTCGGAAAAATAAAGTTCATGACCAAACAGCTCTAATCTATGAGGTTAGGATAAAGTAACTGGGCATGGCAAAGGAAGCAGATAATAACTTTGCCACCACGGTATGGGTGTGCAAGGTTCTGGTAATATTCTGTTCATTAATCTAGAAGTTTGACACACGAGTAGTGTTCATTTGTGACAATTCTTTGGTTGTACACTTAATGCACTTTGTGAATGTATGCTTTATTTCAGTAAAAGCTTAGATGTTTGGTAGGCAAATGAGAGTCACACAAAAAGCATCTGTGCCCTCAGTCTGTAATAGCTAAAACTTGGAAACAGCCCAATCGCCCATCAGCTGGAGACTGGATAAATAAGATGTGCTTCTTCTATAAAATGGACTACGACTCAGCCATAAAGAATAAGAAACTAGAGACATTTATAGCTAAATGGATGCACATTGAGGACATACTCAAGTGAAATAAATAGGACACACATGTGTAAATACTGAATAGTTTCTGTGATGTGAAAAACGAAAAGTATAAATAAGGTTCAAATTGTATGATTGATATTATGAAATAGGAAGAAAAGGTCTAAAGGAGTAGGGGAAGTGAGAAGGGTGGCGGGGAGAAGGAAAAAGAAAAATTATAAGAAAAGGAAAAAATGGAAACAAAGTCTTTGAAAATAGGGGAGGGTAGAGGGGTTGAAAGTAGGGCAGAGGAATAGGGAAAAATTAAGAACCAAGATACATCATGTAAAGGTACAAGATCCCAATGATGAATGCAACTGTATTGTATACCTAAAAAAGTACCAATAAATTTAATGAAAAGATAGATATATAGATATAGATATATATGCCCTATTGCTTGGAACATGTGAATATGCTAACTTTACTTGATAAAAGAGACTCCACAGCAGTGTGACTAAGTTGAAGACACTAAAATGAGAAGATTGCCAGGATTATCCAGGCAGGTTAAATGTAATCACACCTGTCTTTATAAGCAGAAATCAGGGAAAGACTATCTACAGAAGAAGGGTTAAAGGGATGAGAAGTGAGGAAATCTTGAACAATCATAGTTAACTTTGAAGATGGGACATGGGACTATGAGCCAAGAATTAAAAGAAACCTGTAGAAGCTGCAAACAATAAGAAAATAGATTCTTCCCTGAAAATTCTACAGTGAATGCAGCCCTGCCAACACTGGCCAGAACAACTGCAAGAATAAAATCTTATGTTGTTTCAAAACACTTAAATTTGTGGCAATTTGTAGATGCAGCAATAGGAAACTAATATATGATACCTTCAAATATTTAAATATATCCAAGCAAAGGCTTCCAGAAAAAGGAAACCAAGACAAACAAACAAAAAAAAACCACAAGAAAATAAAATATAATTACAGAAGTCTGAAAATAGAAAAGAGCTACCGTAGGTACTGGAAGATTTTCTTTCTCTCAAGCTCAGGCCAGATGCCAACTGTCAGTGCATTCATGGAGGAATTAAGTACCATAGGAGAGTTAAAGTCCACACCAGCTCAAAGGTTACATAAGCTATAAAGTTAAAAGCTATAAAGTAAACAGAAAATTATAAGCAATACTAATTTTAATATATCGTGAAATTTAGCTAGCATATATTGCTTGTATAAAAATATCTCAGTTACTGCATTATACATTTTCACATATATTATCCCCAAAGGTTGTGGCTTTTCCTCTCTAAATTATAAATAAAAAATCCAGAGGACAGAAAGGTTAGAGTAAAATATTGCCTCTAATCCCAAAAGTGAGATTGCTCTTTATATAATAAAAAAGCAAAAGCAAACACAAAAACTTCTCCGTTACAGAAATAAATTTTAGCAAAACATTTATAACACAGTGTATCCTTGTTTTATATAATTAAAATCTTCTTACTTTGTTTCATGCAGTGTTCTTTTCCTAAGTCGAAGAGGGGGTCTCTTTGAATCTGGATGGGTATGAGCAGTTCCTTGTTTCTCAATGTTTAAATTTTGTTCTGGATCACTGATTACAGCCCTATAAGGAAAAATAATTAATGTGAAAATTCTGATAATTAGAAGTCTGATAATTAATGTGAAAATATATTTCTCTATTATTCATACAAGTCTGATAATTAATGTGAAAATATATTTCTCTATTATTCATACATTTTAATCAATGTGAAAAGATCATATACCAAATGAAAATTTATACTGTTGTCAAAATAATGTTTTTGTTAAATGAACAGATTTAATTATTAAAATACTGGCCATAAAAAGTGAATTTTTCAGTGTCTTTAATAAGTATTATCTAAAAATAAATTAAAAATTGTGAGGGAACTAAGAGCTTCATGTCTTTACTATTCTTTAAACAAGGAGACAGTATGCTGGTCTCTGACACTGTAGGGGGAAACACAGGTAAAGTACAATAAGAAAATAAAGTGATAATTGCCATGACAGAAATTCAGAAATTCAATAGAAGAGGATTACGTAAGCTCTGAAAGGAAAAAATATAGAGAAGTGTTCATAAAAAGCACCTAAGAAGAGCAGAGATGTGCACGGAATCAAACTCCGGGCCTTGTGCTTACCAGGCAGGCACTGTACCACTGAGCTACTTCCCTGGCTGCACTGATGCTTAAGAGGTGAGTAGACGTTAGCACTCAAGGAGAAGCGTATCACAAGCACAGGGGCAGGATGAGCAAAGCCACAGAAGCAGGCAGCACAGCACCCAAAGAACTGCAGTGTGGGAAGTGAGAGTACACATGGTAGATCAGACTGCTTTGCCTCTTCCAGAAATTTGCTGTGTGGCCTTCTCTAGGCTACAGTTTTCTCATTTATAAGGATTAATATGGTACCTCTCTCAAATAATTATTGTGAAGGTTAAATAAATTAGCATATATATACTATTACACACATATATAATATATATGTATATACACACATATATATTGTTTGTAAGACCATCTGTCATCTAATAAGTGTTAGTGAATTGTCCAATAGTTGAGCCTGAATCACCCAATTCCACTTTTACTAAGTACTTTACTGAATACATTTACTGAGGCATGAAAGCCTATCAGGTAGTATTTAAAATCACCTACAATGAGTGTGTTATCATTATGTGTGCCTAAAATGTGCCAATAAATTTTTGCTATTTAAAAAATAAATAAATAGGCTATAAAAAGATGGCCAGAGCCTATCCTAAGGAGGCATTAGAAATAGATGTAGTAGAGAGAACATATTTGAGAAATACTGGCAGAACCAAAAAATTAATCATCTTTGAGCTCATTAGATGAAAAGATCTGTAGTAAGCCTTCAAGGTGGATACTAAAGGAACATGGGAGTCATATTGTGGACTGCCATTTTGGTAGTAATATTTTAATGGTAGGAAAGGTAGCTAAGCTTATATCCTCCATTCCCTTCCTATCCAGTATGATATCATGATTTGTTAAAAGAGAAATGTCTAGCTGAGTGTGGTGGCTCACACCTGTAATCCCACCACTCAGGAGGCTGAGGTAGGAGGATCTCTGTGAGTTTGAGACCAGCGTGGGCTACATAGTGAGTTCCAGATCAGTCTCAACTACATAATGAGACCCTGTCTCAAAAAACAAAACAAAAAAAGAATAGGAATTTCTATACACCTTTGTAAACTTTCCCTTTCTGGCTTTATTCTATTTTCCTGGAAAAATTCTAAGTCTGAATGAATTTGATGACTGAGAGAGAAAATAAACAAAAGAATTTTAATGGTCTTTTTTTTGGTACCAGGAATAGAACTTGGGACCTTGTGCTTTCAAGGCAGGCGGCAACACCACTAAGCTAAATCCCCAATTCAATATACATTTTAAAAACAGACTCATGAACCTTCAAAAACTATAAAAGTAAAACAAGAATTCAAAAAGAAATTTATGAATTTACTGTTTATCCACTTGTTGGAACATTCAGGAAAAGCTTTAGGCTTCTTTACCTTACCCTGTAGATTTTATTTATTTGTGTCTCAAATTGCAAATTAAATGTTTTAATACTAAATATTAAACAAATGACCTAATCAAAGAAATGGACAAATAAACTAACACCTCTCAAAGAAGTACAAATGTGCAACAAATATATGGAAAAAATCAACATGTTTAACCATTAGGGAAATTAAAATCAAAACACCTTTGAAATTTCATCTTACCCTAGTCAGAATACTTATCATCAAGAACAGACACACACACACACACACACACACACACACAAAAAGATTCCTGGTAAGAATGTGGGGCAAAGGAAAACTTCTTGCATTACCTGTAGTGATGTAAACTAGGAAAATCACTACAGAAATAAGTGTGGAGGTTCCTCAAAAAAACTAAAATAGAAGTATACCAGCTATGCCACTCCTGAGTATGTTCCTGAAAAATTAAAAACATCATTTACAAAAGCTGAGTTCTTAAAATACCCTAGAACCCAACAACAGACGAATGGATGAGCAACATGTACCATATACACGATGGGATATTATTCAGTCACGGAAAAGAATAAAATCCTGTCATTTGAGTCAAAATGAATGAACTTGAGACCATCATGCTAAGCTAAATAAGCCAGAATGAGAGAGCTGTTATATGCTTTCTGTTAAATGATAAACTTAAAATATGGACTGAAATATGAATTTTAAAAAACCACATTTTTTTATCCAGTCTCCCCTTGGTGGGCCACTTGGCTGCTTCCAAGTTCCAGCCACCACAAATGGTGCTGCTATGAACATGGGTGCACATATATCACTATGCTATGATTCTTCTAAAGAAAATGTGCTTTTTAACAAAATGGAATACTACTCAGCCATAAAAATGAGAAATTGGAGACATTTTTAGCTAGATGGATGCATGCTGAGGTGACGCTCTTGGGTGGTATAAAAAGGATGCACACGTATAAATACTGAATGGTTCTTGGTGTGAGAAACTGAAAGTGCAAATAAGGACTAAAAGGTATGGTGGATAGCATGAAATGGGATGAGGGGGACAAGGAGAAAGGGGAAACAGGAGGGGTGGGGGAAAGGAAGGAAGGGAGTGGAATTAATGTGAGAAAATGAAAAATAATGTAGACAGTGTCTTTGTGGATAGGGAGGGAGGGAGGAGTTGAGGGGAGGGCAGAGGAGTGGGGAAAAATAGGAACCAGGATTGATTATGAGGAGGTACAAATTTCCAGTGGTCAATGTTATTATATTATATCCATGAAATGTACCAATAAAATTAATTTTTAAAAATAATTCCATTCAATAAGTAATACAATGTTAAAAATAAATATGAATTAAAATTAAAATATGAATAAGTGAGTGAATTAAAATTAAGGCATAGAGAAGGAATATAGAGGCTTAAAGCATAATTTAGTCATACAACTAAATGGAAAATTTAGCTGTTTCCTCTAAGTCCTATTTTCCAGATCACTCATTCATTTTCCCATTTAACCAGTGTTCAGTGTACAGCTACAGTGCTAAGCAACAGAAATATGACAATGCACAAAACTTCCAAAGAGCCCTGCCCTCATGCAGCACTCATTTGGAAGAGGAAGACAGATAATTAACATGATAAGTAAGAATAACATCATGTAAATTACATGCTGATAATTTCCACTGAAGAAAGATTAAGTACTAAGATGAGGTTTTGAGTAAGGGGTTATAAACTCTTATATGGTGACTAAGGATGGCTTCACCAGGTGACTTCTAAACAAAAATATGAGGTAGTTAGTAAATAGCAATATGAATTTCTGAGGAAAAAGCATCACAATCTCAGGGGGACATAAATGCAAAGTTCCTAAGATAGGCATGGAATCTGATATGTTCCAGGGCAAAGGGAAAGTTAGATGTCTGCAGCAGAGTACACAAGGAGACCAAGCAGGAGAGGGATCCAAAGTCTAGTAACAGTGAGCAGATCAACAGTGGTTCTAAATAGTCTGTATTATTGGGTCAAACTTTTCAACACTCCTGTTGACATCCTTGCCATGTCTTTGCTGTAGATGCAATGTACTTTCTTAATTCTTGACTTTGAGCTTAGCCATTTGACTTTCCTTGGTCAGTTTTATATGACTGGGTGGCTCTGCTGATCTTACTCGAACTAACTCCCGCCAGTGTGGTTTGCTTGGAAATCTGCTGATCTAAGATGATGCCACCCAAGTAGCCCAGCTGCATTTGCAGAAACACCTTTTCCTTTAGTCTAGTGAGCTAGATAAGCAGTGTTCTTCTCTCAGACAGGAGAAGCACAAAAGAGCAAATGACAACACAGGACCTAAGCTCAGAAATGAGCTCACTGCTTTTGCTCATACGTAGTTAGCTAATGTAAGTAATAAGTGAGACCCATCAAATCAAGTCTAACCTGGATAGCTAACCTAAAGATTAAAGACATATGAAAATTATTGTACTTTTTTAGCTACTAAGTTTTGTGGTGACACATAACCATTATGTATTACATATTTTCCAAATTTCAATGTAAACTACTGGCTGCTTTGATTTAGCTTGCCTTTTAATACGTTGACTCTAGTTGCTGGATTGAGAATCAACCAGTAAGAGGCAAATGCAGACACTATGAGGCAAGATAGCAAATAAATGATGAGGTAATCCAGGAGACAGGAAGTGATGGTCAAAATAAGAATGGTGGCAGGAGAAGGAATAAATTCATTTGATGATAGAACTGAGAGTGTCTTTTGACAAACTAGACATAGGATTTGAAAGAAAGAGAGGGATCAAAGGCATCACTGCTTTAGGCCTAAATAATTTCAAGTATGGAGTTGCTATGGAGGATAATTAAAGATTTGGTCATGCAGTCAGATCGGAAAATGTTAAAATGAAATCCTTAGATGATTCTGAACAAAGTGAGTTTTTAAGGGAATCTTGGACCTTTACATGACAGGTTTTGGTTCTCATTTTTTCCCTCCCTTCACCCTCTCCTTCCCTCCCCATTTACAAACACTTTATTTCCATTTTTTCATTTTTTTCTTTTCCTTTATTACCTTTCCCCTACCCTTCCCATTTTCCCTCTTTACTCTCTTCTGAGTTAAGTATTCTTTACATGGCAAGAGTTAAGGATCAAAGATTCATACTTTTTTCTATGGACTCTATGGAACATACCAATGGAGGGTGTGTGTCCAGGTACATTTTTCATAAAGATTACCTATTTTCTCTGAATTGCCTTTGCATCTTTTTATTGTTGTTGCTGTTGTTGTTTTTGGTACCAGGCATGGAACTCAGGACCTTGCACTTGCAAGGCAGGCGGTGGCATCACTGAGTAAAGGGGAAGGGGAGGAGGGGTGAAGGGAGGGCAGGGACAAGGGCAAAAAAATGAGAACCAAGACCTGTCTTGTAGAGGTACAAGATCCCAACAATGAATGTAACTGTACTGTATACCTAAAATGTACCAATAAACTCAAAGAGAAAAAAAAGATGTAAAGAATATTATTGTCTAAGGGAAACAAAGAAATACCTTCCATTCTTGGAACACCATATAAACTACTATTTCAAAGTAGTTTACAGTTTCCCCCAGATATCATGCCTTTCTCTTTCAGTGAATTAATGTCTTTGCAAAGCTGAATTTTCTGTAGTTGCTGTGATAAAGAGCAAATATATGGAAATTAATGTATAACAGGATCCTAAATGATTGTAATATTTCAGAGATTCTACGGTGCACAAAAGATGCATATATCCCATTAGTGAGTAACTGCGGCAATTTAAGAAGGAAATAATATCTTTCAACTGATGTGCAATAGTTTTCAAATAGTCATTAAGTTACTATGAAAGAAATGCTTATTAAGTTATTTAGACAATAGTAATAAATATAATGAATAGAATTGTTAGGTATTTCTATTAGTCTAAGTGCTCTGAAAACACTAACTATTTGGGCCCAGGGATTTGGCTAAGTGGTTCTGCTGCCTGCCTCACAAGCGCAAGGGCTCGAGTTCCATCTTTGGTACCAAAAACAAAAAAACACTAACTATTAAACCTTTAAGATTGCAGTGAACAGAGAAAACTCAGCTCTGACCTAGCCATGCATTAATTAACCAGGCATGTAAGTGTTATAGATGAAAAAGAAATACAGTGAAAATTTTTGTGATGGATTACTATTACCAGTTACTAACTCTGACCTGGATAAGTGATCTATCATCATTTGCTCTGCAACAGTCTGTTTCTTCTTCTCTGCAGCCACAGTTTCCTGAGAAAATAAAAATAATACAACTTTATTGTCCATAAAGTGGAACAATTCTTTGACTACAGAATGCCTAAAACATGAATTAAATATTTCTAATTTCCTCTTAAATACAGATTGCTAACCATCATTAATAAATTTAAATTCCAATTTAATCTAAAATTACCATATCTTCATGCACTCAAATTTCAGTAGAAATCATCAAACATCTCCAACAAGCTGCCTTACATGCAATGGAATGAGAATAAAGGGAGAGGAGATACCATGTCCTTGCCTTTATTACTCCCCTCCTCAATATATGCCATGCAAAATGCACCTTTACCTGCTGCAAGAAGAATAAACACTGACAAAAAGAGAGTTTTGTCTAAAACTATTCACAGAAGAGGCTGAAACGGAATTGAAATCATCTAACCTTATGTAAAAAATCTGAAACAGAACTCTCATCATTAAATAATCATAAACTGGTCTGTTTATATAATTCATTAACAAAACCTGATCAATTTTTTCTCAATTACTGCTTTGATTAAAATGTATTCATCCCATTTATCTTCCCAAACTATTTTTGCTACTTTTTATTCATGTTAAATGGGAAAATTTGTAATTATCAAACTCAATTAGATTATCATGCAACTACCAACCCTAACATATTTCTTTTGAGGGACAAATGGCAGAGGTTAAAAAATTTAAAAGCCAAAACAAAGCAAGTTCTATTCTGAGCCTGTAAATTATGTCACCTTCATCGGTCCTTTCAATAAACAAAATCAAGTAAGTTAATTGCTCAAAACTGAGACTCTGCAACATTTCAGAGAGTCCTTTTTGATAAAAAAAAAAAAACAGCATGAAACAAATAAGAATGCATAAAGGCATAATCAAAAAATAAAAACAAAAAATTCCTAAGAACCTTCAAATGTTGGGCACAATCTCATCTACAATTATTAGACTACAATTGAATTAAAATTAAATTATGAATTTAGTCTAAAACTGAATTCAGTTTTTATCCATAAGAAATTTAGAATGTATAATTTGGACATCCAAATAAGCCCAGAATTGAGTTTTCTATCATTTAATACATAATTGCATTTTGTATTATGACAAATTATAAGCTAATGACACATAATTTTTGTTCAGTAATACACTTAAAATAGGAATTAAAAAGAAAAATTGTGCAACCTTTAGGTAAAGAAAAGCATATTTTACAATATCCAGACATGATTTATAAAGTGCACAGTACCTAAATCATCAAAATTATGTTCAGAAACAATCGACATCAGCCAAAAACAAAATGTAAAATCCAAAAGCAAGCAATAAAAGAAAAATTAATGATTATCGTAGAGCCATTCAAAAAGCTATTTTGAATAATGAAATTTATAGTGTTTAGACTTTGCAAGAAAGGTTGGAATCCCCTCAGGCACAATGATGTAGAGATTTTCCTAAGCCTAAAGCAGATTCTAAGCAGAAGTCACACTGATACAAGGGACTCGGCAACACTAAATAATGACAAAAGAACTGGAGAGAAATATGAAACACGGGCTCATTGCTTCTAGTGTTTAGTTAAGTAGTTAAAAATTAAAGATGTTTTTACCCACATTTTAAAAATAAATCAGTACTAATTTCCGTTGCCTTAAAAGCTTACTCATATAAACATTTTCATGGGGAAATAAAACAGATCAATGCACTACTGTGGCAACAAAGTAAAACTTAACTTATGGTGAATTTACATAATTTCTCACTAAACGTAATTGTAAGGAGAAGAAACCTGTTAATACCCAAGAGAGCTTTGCATTATACTAAGAACAATATCCAATGGACCTTAAGTATGGTGACATTCATTTCAAATAAAAATATTGAAGATATACTCCTAAGTGAAATAAATAAGTCACACATGTGTAAATACCGAATAGTTTCCCTGGTGTGAATAATCTGCAACAATGCATAAGATTCTAATAAGATTACTGACATTTAGAAATGGGAAGAAAGGAGCTAAAGGTGTAGGGAAGGTGGGATGGGTAGGGGAAGAGTAAAAAGGGAAAAGAAAAAAATGTGAGAGAATGAAAAGATGAAAATAAAGTGTTTGTAGATGGCGAGGGGAGGAGGGGGTGAAGGGAGGGCAGAGGTAAGGGGAAAAAATGAGAATCAAGACTTGCCATGTAGAGGTACATGATCCCAACAATGAATGCAACTGTACTGTATCCCTAAAATGTACCAATAAACGCAATTAAAGCTGAAAAAAATAAAATAAAATAAAATAAAAAAATAAAAATAAAAATTCAGAACCTAACAAAATAAGCCTTATTTGGGATACTATCTTGCCTCATAAAGTAGCTTCGCTATGTTTATGATAGCCCTGGTAACACACTTTATTTTTATGTGCATAAATATCTGAAAAATGATGAGTATAGAAAACTATATATATGGTCTTTGGTCAAAGAAATGTAGCAAATTTACAAGTTGGGATAACCACAGAAAAAAATCAGTCAGCCTGACCCAGAGTTTAATGCCACATTGCTTTCAGTTGAGGACACAACTCTGCAAGACTGTGAGCAAGTAAAATATATACTGATTTTCTCTTCAGTGCTAATGATAATGTAGCTAGGTAACTCCATAATGCTTTCTTATCACTTAGGCTGTCTAAATCAGAGTTTTCGTAGCTTATGAGCCACGACCATAGTATTCATCCACCTTGGAAGCATATCTAAGATATCAATCACCTGAGTTCCCAGAGGCCAGTGGGCTCCACCTTCAAGCAGCTTGGCCTCCTTACTGTGGGACACTAGAGAAATTTTATGTTTATCTGTGTATTCCAGACTAGTGTAAGCAATGCTCATCAACCTAATTCATTTTGAAAAATACGTAACTTAAAGATAATATTGAAAGTCTAAAGTTTTGCTTCATTGATCCTAAGAAAACTTTATTGCTGACTTTGTTCTTAACTGGCCAGAATTTCTGTAGTGTTAGTAGCTTATTTAAAAAATGCCAGGGCCAGATATTTAGCTCAGTGGCACCTTGCCTGCTTGGCAAGCGCAAGGTCCTGAGTTCAATCCCCAGTACCAAAAAAAATAAATGCCAGGCTTCTCTTTGAGGAAAGCCTATGCTGCCAAATAAACTCACTTGAATATTATAAGTCCGATGTCTACAAATGCTCAAAGATTCAAGACAATTTTTCCACAGAGAATATACCAAACTCAAGTTAACCATTTTAAAACATATTCAATTTGCCCATGAAAAAGTATTTACGTCAGTCCAAATTTAATTGTTGCGATTATACTCTTATAAGTCATAAAAGCTTAAAAGGCAAATTATTTCAATGGCTTCTGAAATAAGTAAACTGATGACTTACTGCATCTGATTTCCTTGAACTATGCTGTGCATGACGAGGGCTGGACACATAACCGTGCTGTAATAGGGCTTTCCTGTCCAGAGTTGTAAGGTCATCCTCGCTGGCTTCTGTACTTTGTGTACTACACTACAGATGAAAGCAATAAACAGCCCATCATACAAATATTTAGAACAGTAGTTTTTTAACAAAATAAGGGACTATGTGACCACTGAATATCTCAGTGAAGATTTGTGTAAGAATTAAACAGTACAAGCTCTCGTATTCAGATCGCCTACCTTTGAATCCAGCTTTCCTCTTCCTGGCTAGATGACCCCTCGGTGCCTCAGTTTACTCATTGATAAAATGAGAATAATAGTTAAGCATTTACAGTTGGGAAATCAGTTCATAAGAGTACAATTGTATCTACTCACCCATGTGGCACTTAGAGTGGAGTTTCAAATTGTCTGGCTTTCAGATTTGCCCTAGGAGTTGGTGGAAGACATGTCTGGGTTTATCTGCCTAGCCGTGGAGGCACGGCCTGGGGATCTAGAGCTAGTCCCTGGCCCCTTGCACTCTGGCACTCTTCTCTTGCTCTGCTTCCTGGCCCAGCATGAACTAATCAGCTTTGTTCTGCCACAATCTTCCACTCTGGCCTTGGAGCCAGAGGATATGGACCAAAACCATGAACAAATGAAATATTTCCTCCTTCAATTTGTGGCCATTCAGTATTGTGAATCAGCAATGAGAAAGCTAAATCATACAACCCACTAACACACTTATTTTCCTACAAATTTATCTAAGCAAGGAATCGAATGATGCTTAGCATTATATAAAGTAAATTAAGCAAATTAATTTAATAGATATGTTTAAGTATAAGCATTATATTTAGGCTGAAAAACTTTCAAAAGGATTTTTATTTCATCTTGCTTTTAATATTTTATAAAACTTAAGCAGTGGCTTTCCACCAAAGTATCAAATTTAACCTCATCAAAGCAGACTTTCAGCTGGGGATTTAGCTCAGCGGTTTGGTGGCCAGCCTTGCAAGCACAAGGACCTGAGTACAATCCCTGGTACCAAATAAAAAAGCAGACTTTCACATGCTCTTTCCCTAACTAATGGTTAATGATTCAAGTCAAAAGGCATAGAGTAATTATTTTCATATTTTAAAATATTTAATTGGTAAATATAAGATGTGTATATTCAAGGTTTATAACGTGATGATTTGCTTAACATATATATTGTGTAATAATTACCACAATCAACCCGTCTGTTATGCTTTGGGTCTAGATGTCCCCCCAAAGCCTCACGTGGTCATAGGCTTGCTCTACCTTTTCAAGTTTAGAACTTAGATTGTAATCTAATAGAGTTCATGATGACTACATCAAAAAAAAATATATGATGCATTCTTATTTCTACTCTCCAGGCAAGTGAAAAGCTGCTAATAGAGAACTAGTTCATATGACCAGAGTTTTCAAATCTGAAAATGGTGATGACAATCCTTTAGGTTTGTTGTGAAGAATCGACTAGTTCATATACATAAAATACTTGAAGCAGTCCCTGGTCCATAGCAATGAATGCTATAACACAAAAACTGTTTGCCTTAAATCTCATTAAAATTTTACAAGCCCTCATACATTACCTGTTTATCTATCTTGTTTCTTGGAGACCGTTGATGTGTGATATTTGATTTTGTCTTTTCTGACTTTTTCTGACTGTACTGTTTATATCCCTCTTTCATTTCAGTTTTATATTGTTCATATTTTAACTTATATTTGCCTGTTGGTGCTGGCAAATCTTCAGGTATTATGTCTTGTTCCTACAGGTAAAAAGAAAAAGTATGCCGCCCATGAGAAGAAATAAAAATAATTATTAATTTTCCTTATTCACATTAACAGGTTTACCATTTACTTTAGTATTTATGCCTAAGAAACAGGCCATTATAATCTGTTTTAAACAGAGGTGACATTTAAAACCCTTATCTGGTTCAGGATGATAGATCAATCAGAACAGACAGAACTACTCAGATTGGGCTCTTGGGCCTAAATAGCAGTAATCCTGTATTTTTATTTTGCAGTTGAAGACAATCCTTGTTCCAAAAGAATTCAAGAGAAGAAAAATAAATTTTATTTTCTTCTTAAAAGCTTTAGGTAGGCTTTTTTTGTTTTCCTGTCCCAGAAGAACTCCACTTCAATAATTTCTTCCAAAGTAATCATAGGGATTGGAGATCACTAATGTTGAGAAACATTTGTTGTCACTTCTAAAATATTACAATAGTCATCACTTCTCAGCCTTTTGGCTAAGATGAAGTGAACTATTACAATAGTCTACTTTCTGGTATTATTTAGTTCCCTAATATTAATAATAATATTATTATTATTTCCATGGGAATGAGATATAATAGATGCAAGAGACTGTAATGTTGATTATGCTCAAAGCAGGCTCTAAAGAGTTAACTTCACAACTGGCTTGTTTATAGAAGTGAGTCCAGGTGACGCCTACACGCCAAGGTCAGAGTAACTCACACTCAAATTCTGTTCCCACGACTAAAACTTTCTAACTAGAAAGACGATGTTCTACTTGCAACCATATATTTTGTCGATTTTATTCCTAATTTGAGAATTCTTTGTCTTGTCCTTTACAAGGCTTGCTTACAGTAATTTCCATAGAAACCACATGACTGTGTGCCCTCATATCCAGTATGCCTCTACCCCAATTGATTATCAATAAAAATCAGTGGCTTGGACTGGCCAGCACCTTGGTCATTTCTACCAGCATTGGTCACCCAGGCACCCCGATTTCTGTCTCTTAGTTCTGTCTTTTAGTTTTGTTTTGTTTTGTTTTTCCCTCAGGCCTGCATTGTACACTGGACAGGAAACTGGAACCTAACTGCAGGGGTTGCCGGTAAATGGGGTCATTGGGTACGAGAAACTTAACTACTAAACAAATACAAGGTACATACATATTAACCCAAAGAAGGATAGGCATCCCGAAAGGAGCATACAAAGCCAATCTAACCACTGAAAAATGTTGAGGATATATGAGTTTAACCCAGACAAGAAGGATGAGGCAAAGCACAAAGGGAAAATAATGTATTATTTATGAAATTTTCTCATGTGAAACTGAAAAGAACATGAATACAATCAAATATAGGACAAAGATTACAGACAGAAAATCAAGCCCTACTCAGCATAATACTAGTGAGAATCCGCGTTTGAATATATACATGTCCCAAAGAAATGCACTGAATTAAGTGTAGTTATGTATCTACTCCATAGCATTCTATCTAGTATCACGAAGTCTGAGTCCATTTCCAAGAAATAATGTTTATAACTAAAACTTGTAAAATTCGATCTGAGGTTTTGCCATACATTTAAAATTCCTCGATTTCCATATTATGATAAACCTGTATTTTACCAATTGTAAAAGAAATTTTTAAACAACACCTATTCCTATATCTGAAGAAATGCAAATCAAAGTAAAATTACTTTACCACTATTATTTGAAATTTTCATATATAAAATATTTAAATTGGGCAAAACATAGACTGAACACAGTGAAATCCTGAATTAATTGCATACTATAATCTCGAAAGTTAGTGATAAAGCAATATACTAACCAGTTCATTTAGGTGATGTTGAGTACATGACATTTGACACGGCAAATCCCAATCAAGAGCAGAAGATGACTTTGATGGGTTGAAATGAGTATGCAATGCACTAAGAGAACCATATGAAAAATCATCCTAAAAAAAATGGATACTTAGCATAGGTACATGTAATAGTGTAGTACAAAGTTTATTATGCCAAATATTAAATAAAAATTACCTCATCATCAGAGCCAACGAGGCTTCTCAAATCAAGTGGCGGGACCCTAAAAGAAATATATATGCATCTCATGAGTTTCTGTCAGTGAGACTTTAATAATAGTAAATCATATACAATAAGCCACACTGAAGCCAGTGGTGTGCTGCATCCTACTGGTTTGTGATAGGATTTTGTTAAATATTCAATAATTTTTCAAACTGGTTGTTAACATATCTATTATTGAAAATAAAATCATACAAATTTATAATTAAATAAATTATGTTAAGAACAAAGATAATAAATCACCCAAATTCATCCCTTCTCAATGATTTTACTGCACTTTGCTACTTGTGTTTTAGAAAATATTTATATAATATCTGTATTGTTTCCAACTCTGGTTACCAGTTTTACATAGATAATTTGAAATCATATTAGGATTATTTACACTGAAAATGGTGAATACTTTATTATTTTGTTGATTTCTGAGAGTTAAAAACAAGTGAAAAATGTTAATAATGCAGACTAAAAGTGCATCGAGTCTATAGGTTTCAAGTAGTGGAAAGCACCACTAAATGCCAAGGAGTATTATTTCAGTATGTAAAATTACTGAATTCACAGAGAAATCATTTGTCACTTCACAAAATAACAATGTCGACCAACATTCATATTAGAACTGCATTAGTTCATTACTGCAGCCATAATTCACCTACAAAGAAAGTTCAGAAATAAACAAAGCGAGCATTTTATGAGTGCCAACTGTCCAATGGACTTTTTAAAAAATTGTATAAATTTTACTATCACTTGTAAATTTCTTGCAACACATACTTCATAGTAGTAAAAATTTTGGTCATCTTAAAACGCATTCAAAATTATTAATAATGAACAAGCAAAATTTTATAATAAATGTATACACTTTCAGACCACTAGTTATTAAACATTTACCAAAACACAATTGACACTGTCCTTGTTACATACTCAATATCTTGTAGCTAATAATTAAGCATATCACTCTTCTTTAGGTCTAGCAGGGCATATATAAAGTTATTTATATTTGCTGATTTTCAATCTCTAAAACAATGGCATTGCCTGTGGTTTAGCTTAGCAGATTACTGTTTTTAATTTCTACTTCTCAAGAAGCCCTGTAGTTTTAAAATACTTGAAGTATATTACATTTTTCAAGTCTTCAAAAGTGTAAAATATAAAGCATAAATGCATTCTAAACAAAGAATAAAACTTTAATAAGATTGACTAAATTACATTTCTTAAGATAAGAATAAAGCACATGCATATATACTATTAAATTAAATTTTACTATGCCAGTTATAAAAAGAAAAATCTTATAGAATTCTTTCATAAATGCACTTAGGGAGGAGATAAATATGTTTACACTGATCTACATGTTACATAAGCTACACATGTATCAAATCATAATAAAATATTCCCTAAGTATATGTGTTTATGTCACCATGAATAAGTCAAAAAGTAAATTTAAAAATTTAAATTCATAATAAAAATAAATTTTCTAATATAAAAATATTTTATATAGATCTTGAGACGATAATTCTAAAGGAAATCCATCAGACATGGAAATATCGTGATTCCTCTAACATAAGAAACCCAAAATATAAATAATTTCAAGGGAAAAATAAAAGAGAGGTGGCAGAAACAGTAAACTTTATGGAGATGAGAAGGGGAGAGCAAAAGAGGGGAGCGTGTCGGGCGTGATGGCGCACGCCTGTAATCCCAGCACTGGGGAGGCTGAGGCAGGCGGATCGCCGCGAGTTCGAGACCAGCCTGGGCTCCATAGTGAGTTCAGGTCAGTCTCAACTACATAGTGAGACCCTGTCTCAAAAAAATAAGGAAGAGGGGAGAGTGAAAATAATCAACGCATGATATGTATACGCATCAGTTCCTCAAGATGAATGTAATTACTATGTACCACAAATAGATACTAATAAAACACAAAAATATTTTACCTTTTTCATTAAAATGTGAGAACAAGAAAATGAAAATGAAATATTATCACCCATAATCTTACCATCCTATGACAAGAACTATCTTAATTTTGGCCTAGTAATATCCAAGTTTTCTGTATGCACGTTGGTTTTACTATAGTTCAAAATTCTAACTGGTTATATTGCATAGCTTTGCTTCATTTTTTAACTTGAAAAAATAGCATAAATATTTGCCAATTATACAATACAATGATACAAAGAAATATAACTTACACAGGTGGACAGGGATTCGAGATTGCCCATGACCCAGAAGTCCAGCCTTGCTTTATTTAAAAATAAAATAATTAGAATCAGTATCTGTTATACTTTACAAGATAAGCAATGAATCAATTCAGTAGACTTCGTTATAATTTTTCTCAGTAACCCTTTATAAAAATACTAAAGTCCCTCCCCCCTGTCATGAGACAGTATTTAACGTATTTTAAAATAAAGCTAACTCAGGCAGTGACAAATTTTCAATTAATGATCTTCAATTTTGTTGGTCCCATTTTTCAAATGTAGGCAACAGTGATTCTAAATATTTGTGATTATAAGCAGTCATAAAATTATGAAGAAAGGAGTCAAGAAATTATTTAATGTGAAAGAAAAATTATACAGCTTACATACGTGTAATGGCTTCTTTCTTCCAGACAACAGTTGAGTTTGGCTCCCAGGAAAAGCCGCCACTCCTCTAACCTCTAAATCCATTCAAGCTCATGTACTTATCATGCAGTGTACTGTGCTTTAAAAGGGTAAAATAAATAAATGTGAAATTATAATTCTCACTCTACACTGAAAATTACACAATAATACTTTATAGAAAGAAATACAGTTAATCACTTTTACTTCTTTCACTAAAGTCAACTTTTTGTAGGGAAATTCTTCACGCTCTGCAGTAGTCTGCATGGGCTTCCAAAGACAACAACATCTTAAACCCTGGACTCTGGAAATGTGTACCTTTCAGGACAAAAAGGACTTTCAGATGTGATTAAGAATCCTGAGATGGGGAGACTGTCTTTGACTATTTGGTGAACTCCGTGTAACCACCTCTGTCCTTAAAAGTAAAAGGCAGGAAGGTCAGAGTGAGAAGAGAAAATATGTAGATGGAATTGTGTAGGTCCGACAGAAATGAAGATGCTATCCAGGTGGCTAAGAAGATGGAGAAAGAGGTCATGAGCAGCTTGCAGAATGCAGAACAGACAAAAGGTGGATTCTTCCGGAGCCTCCAGAAGGAATCAGCCCCTCTAGGAGCCAGGATTTAACTCCTTAAGACTCATTCCAGACTCCTATCAGTACACAGATACATTTATCTTGTTTTAAGCAAAATTTATGATAAATTTTTACAGCAGGAGTAAGAAAGTAATGCATGTCCCTCTTCTTTATCACAATAAGATAAGCATTTATTTATTTGTTTGTTTACTTGCTTGTATTCATTTCCTTTATGAGTTTTGGTTTTGCCAAGGTACACTGACAAAATATTTTTAGCAAACACTATTAGCCTTCATCCAATACAAGGAATAAAATAGAATGAAAAAGAATAGTAGTTATGTGGTGATTTCAAGAAATCAACCAATAACAAATGCTAGCGGGGTTGTGGGGAGAAAGGAACCCTTCTCCATTTTTGGTGTGAGTGCGGACTGGTGCGAGCACTATGGAAATCAATATGGAGATACCTCAAAGAGCTGGGCCTAGAGGTTCCATTTGACCCAGCCATCACTCTGCGGGGTATCTTTCCAAAAGAATTAAAAGAATCATATCACGGTGATATATGCGCACCTATGTTTACAGCAGCACAGTTTATAATAGCTAAAACTTGGAGACAGCCCATTTGCCCATCAGTTGGAAACTGGATAAAGAAGGCGTGGTTTTTCTATAAAATGGAATACTACTCAGCCATAAAGAATGATAAATTAGAGTCATTCATAGGAAAATGGATACATATTGAGGATATACTCATAAGTGAAATAAATAAGTCACACATGTGTAAATACCAAATAGTTTCTCTGGTGTGAAAAACTGTAATAGTACACAAGATCCTAATGGGATAATTAACAATGTGAAATAGGAAGAAAAGGGCTAAAGGTGTAGGGAAAATAGGAAGGGTAGGGGAAAGGTAATAAGGGAAAAGAAAAAAATATGAGAAAAATGAAAAAATGGAAATAAAATGTTTGCAAATGGGGAGGAAAAGAGGGGGTGAAGGGAGGGCAGGGACAAGGGGAAAAAAATGAGACCCAAGACCTGTCATGTAAAGGTACAAGATCCCAGTAATTAATGTAACTATATTGTATACCTAGAATGTGCCAATAAATTCAATAAAAAGAAAAAAAGGAATGTTGAAAATAATTAACTTGAAAATATGTACAAAATAAAAATCAGATAAATATATAGATCATCAAAATTTGGTAATTTTACTTTATGATTCACCCTTATGTTACTAAGAATAAACTTTTGTTTAAAGATTTATGCATACTTTCTTTTTTCTATCATTAGACTTGGATTCATTTTTATAATAGATTATTTTTGTTCTGCTTGTTTTTAAAGAAAGCATGGCATATTTCCAGGTTGAGTTAGACGTATTAAAATCTTGAATGTTTTTTTCCTTTTCTATAAGTTAAGCTTAATTTGGAACTACTTTCTCTGAGCAAGTATTTCTGATGTGTGAAATGAAATTTTAGGCCAGGCATGGTGGCACATGCCTGTAATCCAAGCACTTGGGAGGCTGAGGCAGGAGGATCACCGTGAGCTTGAGACTAGCCTGGGCTACATGGTGAGTTCCAGGTAAGTCTCAACTACATAGTGAGACCCTGTCTCTAAAAACCAAAAAAAGAAAAGAAAGAAATTTTAATATCAGCACCTTTCTCATCCTGATAAAATAAGGTAACATTCAATAGATAGTGGCATCATTATTAAGGCATATTTTTATTTCATACTGTATGAAATCTTATCTAAACATGATCTTTCCTGACTTACCCATGTGATTCCTTTCACTTCACCCTAAGTCCCTCTCCATATAAGAATATCCTTGACTTAAGCCTGAAATTCTCCTCTAACAGTAAATTCAGAAGATTTATCAACTAACCGGAAAATATCGTAAATTATCACATTTGAAAATATAGCACTTGTGCAGTACTGCATGGCTTTCTTTTCAGGGTTATCTTTCACAAACTTTTCACAGTTGCTATTAGTTTGTTTGCTTGTTTAACTTGAAGAGACATTCAGTTAATTGTTTAATTACATCACAAGAGTAATTGTATTTGCTATAATTGCCAACTAACAAACCCAAACTGACATAGAGATGCTGAGCAATCAGCTAAATAATTTTCTACGTACACACACACCAGCCTCTCAATTTTATACCTGAGTAACTCTTATAGCTATTTCAAATCACTGTAGGTCATTTTAAATCACTATGCTTAAAATTCAGATAATAAAAACAGCACAGTTTAAACCCTCAAATATCCATTTCCTCCTAGTTCCTGTATTTCTCAGACATGACAGTCAGCATTCTCTGCAATAAGCTCTTTTCCTTTCTGTAGCACTGTCAAGACCACAAAAGCTGGTATCTCTTCCCTTTGCTGTAAAACACTTAATAAATATTTAGTCAATCAATAAATTAACACATCACCAAATCACTGTATACACCTTGAGCATATCCTTAGGTCAGCTGCACTTATGCACACCTAATTATCACAATCACAATGTTAACAAAATTCTGTCCGCACACTGAATGGCAGTTATTCTTCAGTGCTCTTTGGCAAACTTCTAACCAGCAAGGACTACTGGCTTTGCTCACCCTGTATTCAGGACTAGTAGAAAACCTAGAAAATAGCAGGAATTTGATATTTGTTAAATAAGTAAATCCAGTGAGTTCAAGTATGAGTTAATCCACAGTCACATGGTACAAAGGGATTCGTTCATACAGTAAGAGTGTCCTAAGGGCAATGCTATCATACAAAGAACATGGTAGGATCTACAGAAGCGGAGTCAGGCCATCAACACCCTCCTTAGAAAAATCTTGAGATTCGGACAGGGCTTCCAAGAAAAAGAGCCCAATCTTCTCATTTCCAAAGTGAGCAAAGTGAGACCCAGGAAAGTGATTTTCTTTGCTAAACTCTGTCAGTCACTGCAGAGCATACACGGGTTTCAGACCTCTTTCCAGTACTATCCTCTTCTTCATATAAATAATACAAGCAGCCGAGGGGAATTAGCTGCAGAGAGTAAAGAACAGAAACCTAAACGTGCCCACCCAAGAACCAACATTTCAAACATACGGCTGTGAAGCAATCTTTGGAATAGATGCCAATGGTTGTCTTTGTCCTAAAACACTAATTAGCCACTCACTCAGGATATGCTGGGGATAGGATATAGCAAGAAGACAGATGAACATTTCTGGAATGGCCTGTGTTCCCACTCAAAATGCTACAAGTTTTAAGATGTTACTGCTAGCACATAATAAATATTATTGACTGATATCTTTAGTGTTACCTAAAGCACTGAACTCACCTCCCTCTTCCGTCCTGCTTAAATAATTATTATGTCCAACTCCAATTATCATCATTTTTCTCTCGGTCAGTAATACTAATTGCTATTAAGTTGCTTACACAAAGTCTGAACTTAACGGAAAGCAAAAATAAACTGGTGTAATCCAGCTCATAAACATGGAGAAAGGATAGAGATTTTGTTAGTACAATTTAGTACTGAAGTTGGTTGAGATCGGGGACCAAGACTAAGGTGGATCAGGTGATAAGACAGCCAGTTATCTGAAACTGAACCTAAGGTCATTCCTAATTTCAAATAAAGTAACCTCCTTATACTACAGAGCCCTTGCAGGGCTCCCTAAGGAATTCTCCATCCTCTCCTTTTCTTCCAGACCAATGTGACTTGTCCTAACAATCTCAGTAAAAGCCAAATGCAAAGTAGGTGAATTGGAAAAGATCTAACCTAGGGCGATTCTACCAAGGAGCCTTCTTCGAACAGCTTCAGAATAGACAAGCCTGAAGGGAGCTAGCTTTCTCTGAGACTCCGCCAGCGTCCCCAGGTTGCCTGGCAACAGGCACACAGCCGGCCTCAGAAAGCCCGGTCTCACCTTTAAGAAAAATAAAATAGATCGTCAGTATTGCCCTTCTCTTCTTGCACACCAGTTCCTCCTCCTGAAGGGCTCAAGTCCCCGAAACCCCGCTGGGCTTGCAGACAAACTCACGCGGAATGAAACCCGTCGCCTCAGGGTGCGCAGAGGCTGGACGTCTGGAGCCTCTAGATCCGGAGCGGACTTAGCCGGGCCGCCTCTCGCACTGGGAGAGGGCCAAAGCCCGGCGTGGATCCACAGCTCTTGTGTAATTCTTCATTTAACTGAATGCTGTTTAACATATGTTACGGAGTAACTGTCCGTCCGCTCCGCCCAGACTGATGTTTGTAAGGTAACAATTCAAGCATATGCTGAGCTTGCAGTTTTTTTTGTTTTGTTTTGTTTTAAACCGGAGATCGAACTCGGGTCCTTGCACTTGCAAGGCAGGAGGTGAACCATTCAGCTAAATCCCCAGGCCTTGCAATTATTTTTTAAAAGACTGCAGTATAACATTATATGGAGAGCTACAGATATTAAGCATACACTCGTATCTCATTTTATATGTGCGAATACTTACATATAGAGTATTACATACACAAGTGCATGTGTATGTAGGTGTGTCTGTGTATAATAGGTTAGAATTTAAAATGCTGATATAATGAAAAGGACACAGGCCTAGAAATTAGAAAACCTCCGTTTTATTCTTTACTCTGCCAAATTTTTTCATTTGCATTCTACGCAATGTCCGTGGACACCAACTCTTCATGCACAAGGGAAAAGGAAGGTTTTAGTTATTTCTACTGTTTTATTCCAACAAAATATACGGTAAATTTCCTAAATTACAAGCGTCCGGGTACCTTTCAAGTAAGATCATGAAGTCTGATCCAGCTCTCTTCCCAAAATAATCTTTATTTTTTTCTAATATGCAGTGTCTCTTTAAAATTAGTTTCCTTTAAAATATTTGTTCAAATTTAGAGACTAAAGGCAGTTGAGGGATAAAAATACATTTTGGAAATATAAAAACAGTGAAATCAATGAGTATAATGTAATCATTCCATTTCTTCCCTACACCTCATAAAATTCATCCAGTCATTAACCTATAGAAAGAAAAGTAAAAGTAAACTAGGAAAAAAAGTAAAAATGAAACAAAAACCTAAACCTCAACTGTGAAAAAATAAGTACCCACCTAATCTCAGCCATTCCAAATAATCAAGAAAGCACCATGTCCTTCTCTGCTCCTGGCACTTAGACTTAGTGCGCCAAAATCATTCCAGTGTTTCTGAATACAGCTCCCCAAGCCCTAAAACAATGGTCAAAAAAAAAAAAAAAAAAAA